GCGTTCATTTCACCGCCATCGAAATTCAGGCCTATCAAACCACTCACAATATCCAACCACAACATGTCCACGCCGAGCCATACACCTCGACCCAGTCGGCCCTACTGCCCCACCTGTCTCATTGGGGCTAACTCTAACCATCTTGCTGATGGCTGCCAGATCCCTACACAAGTCTGCTTGTAACACAGACAGACATGCAGAGGCATGTTCAATGTCCACTGCAGCATGCAGCTCGTCAACACGTGTCCTGAAAGGGGGGAGTACTGAAAGGATCGGGACCTGTCGGCACCACTCCATGACCCCAGTTCTATTGCCTGGTGTACTGCTGCTGTCACCACCGCCACTGCTGGCCACTGCCGTGATGCCAGCCGCCGGCGGGATGCCAGCCGCTGGCGGGAACCTAACAGCATGGAGGGACAAGCCGCCACCGCCACTGCCACCACCACCGCTGCCGCCACCAAGACCGCCACCGCCACTGCCGGCTGCCACCATGCTGCCAGCTGCCGGCGGGAACCCGACACCCGGGGTGCACTGCTGCACCGTCGCTTCATGCTCTTGTTGTCGACAGGGAAGCGACCCTGGTTTTGGTAGTAGTCCAACATGACACCCATTCGGGCTGCAGCCTACCTACAGCCACAGTGAGGGCGACTGCAGTTGACATGCACGGCAGGCTTGTACTGGTTCGTGCCGTACATGCGTCCACTGATGACCATCTCGGAAGTCCCGCAATACGGACACTGCAGGGCAACATAAGGATAGGGGAGGGAAACAAAAGGCATGAAGCACGTCCCAATACAAACACACACACATACACACCGGTGCAAAACACCACAAAGCCCCCCCCTTCCCCCCCCCTCCCGGACCCCCACTCCCTGGAGTCCCCTTCCCGGGGGTGGGGACGTTGCTTGCCAAGATATAGCCCCTCCCGACACACTAGCACGCGCCATACCTGTAGCAACACGAGGACCATGCGTGCGTAAAGTACTTCAATTGCCGACAATGGAGTCGGCAAATGGAGGGCCCTCCGACACCAGAAGTCCTCGGTCGCCAGGGTGGCACCTCCAGCACGCAGAAGGAGAGTCAGAATCGCGCCACTCTCGTTGCCCAGCGCGCCCGTAAGCTGGGGAGGCTCCATGCTCACAGTAGCACTCGGAGGTGGACGGGGTAGACTGTGTGGGGAGGGGAGAGGTGGCAGGGATTCAACGAGGGAATAGGGCACATTGTAACAAAGAAACGCTAGCACGGTTGCACCCCCTCTTGGGCCACTCGTTTGTCACCACCGCCGATACACACCTGTCACTCCTTGCTCCCCGATGGTCCGCAACTCGCCCGAGCACCAAGTCTGCCGCACGACGAAGTTCGTCGTGTGTAGTGCGGGGACGCAGCAAAACTTCAACTTGCCGTAGGACAGTCCCGGGCTCTGGACAGGGATAGAGTTAATGCATGACAAGGGTGCGTATGTGAAAATAGTTGGCAAACAAGGCGAACAGGCAACAATGCGTCCCATGGGTCCACAGTGCTCCGATACAAATTGCTCAGCTTGTTGACCCTACTCTATGCTGAACGGCGCCGATACTAGCGACTGCGTAGCTCTTACCTCTGTCGAGGACCTGGTCATCGTCCTCTGTGTCGGACGATACTGCGCACAGAGCAGAGGTGCGCGGAAGTTAGTCAGTCCCTGCCAGCCGCCGGCGGGCCTGTCCTCATACACGCGGGCCTGCCCACCTTCTAAGGGTAACTCCGATGTCCCTGCCATTTTGGAAACAGTCGTCGCGTAAAGGATCGCGCGTTAGGAAAGTGCGCTAAGAAGTACCGGGCGCCAGCTCAAGAGGGTTGCCGTACAGAAAGACATTGGACAGTTTTGCTTTAATTTTTACAAAGTTCATATTACAAAAATATGTCCGTAGGTTTTACATAGTAATGCAGAAGCTTTACACCCAGCTAGCAATTAAATAAGATATGTTACTGCGCTGTCGGGGATGGTATCTGGGCATAATTCCGGGCGTATTCATATGAATATGGCTGTATGCATAGCCAAGTCCAGCAATATCGTGAATCCCCGTCGCCCGCATTTATGCAAAAGTAAAATTCACTCCTTCCTGAATTCACTCCTTCTTGTTGGAGCGTATTGGAACTCCGAACACCAGCCCAGGCTGGCCCTTTTAATGCATTCGTGCACCTGAGCGTCGGATCTTGATTGCAAAAGCCAGCGCAATAAGCTAGTAGCGGTATGATATGAGGTGTTGATTGGAGCAATTGGTCCTCGTTCCCAGAGCATTACGTAGATATCTACCCGCAAGGTCCCAAACACCCGCATCGCACAGTTGCAAACGAATTTCACGTAGTACAGCATAATGTCATACTTGCGGATCCCCGGCGCTCCAGAGTCCGCTCTGGCCGTCTGCTCATCTCACAGCCTGGCCATCAACCAACCTAACCGATGTTCTGTGACAACCGCTTCGAGATTCGAGCCAACGCAAGTCCGCCGGAGGCGCTTTGTATAACTTTCGGCATTTACCCTTATTCACTGTGCTTGAACGTAATATATTTTTAGTCTGGACGGCTAGCTAGTCATCGCAACAACAAATTTTGCACTGGTTGTGTGCGAGTTTGAAACCTGTGGCTTGAAGACCTGAACCCAATCGTTCCGCAATCAACGCGAAAGCTACAACACGGCTGCGACAGTTATCCTAACAGTGTTAGGTGCCATGTGGGACATATGTTCATTGGTATCTTTGCGCTTTCTTGAATAGTTGGTGATGCGTAGAACCGATTAGTAAATATGCGATCAGCTACTCGATATGCATCCCGCAAGGTCTCGGCTGGCTTGCCGATCTACACGCTTGTTCTGTTAGTCGGCCTGGTCTTGGCAGTCATCGTGATGATGTGGTCATTACACGCGGGTACGTGTTTGGCTAGTCGCGACATCAACATGTATCGTGATTGTCATGTTGACCATTTCCAATTCGGATGCCCCGGCAGTGCACCATACTGAGATATATCTGCACCCGCGGCGACTTGAAGAGGGAGAAGATATCGCCACCTATGATCCTAAGCCAACAACGGACGCGGCGGACAACTTGCCGAAAAACACTGTCGCTAGCACAACCACCGGCAGCAGCAGCACAAGCACGGCTGGAAGCGGACCTGATCAGTGTCATGTGGACGAACACAATGAATACCATGGGGACGTGCTAATATGGGGCGACAAGAACATTAAGGTCGGATACTGGAGCTGGGGAAACGTAGCACGGAGGGAGACGAGGGCACGAGACGCCATCCCACCCCAGTCCTCCGTCTGCGTAACCCGACATCTTCATCCTCACATTGCGCCACATCCCATCAGGGCCTTAAGAGGCCTTTGGATCTTTAGAGGTTTCTTGACATGTCCTCCTTCTGACCCAGTTATGGCCGGAAGATCGCACACGTGCTCTTGGGGTCGTGCACACCTACCCGCGCACACACACACACACACACACACACGCGCGCGCGCGCACAAGCACCCCTACCTATCAACCTCCCCGTCGCATCCCCTTCGCCCATCTTGAGCCGCGATTGCTGGGCCACCATCACCCCCCTCACCAATAAGCTTCACGTTTTTGCGCGCGCGCGCGCCGCTGACCTTTGTATGATCAAAAACACACATCACACACACACACACACACGCGCGTTCACGTTAGGCGTGCACGTCCCGTCGCCGTCTTTGTGCCGCCATCTCCTCGCTGACAGGCGAGCGCCTGGGAGTGCTGCGAATCTTGCACCTCCACTCCTGGATGCAACATCTGGGTGTATTGTGGTCGGGAGGAGGGTTGTGGCAGTACACAACCCCACAGGCCGAAGGTACGGCGTACGACGTACGACAGTCTACGACACCAGCTTCCAAACGGTCTCTGGATTTCCTACTTGTGTATGCAGAACAGACCCGATATCCGTTGGAAACTTCCTCCTGGTAGTTTTCGGCATGGAAACAACAAACTGTGGGGTTTGTAGTAGAAAAATGCTTGGCAAAACACTTCTGGTATATCCGTCGTTTCTGAATCGATGGATATTAAACAGCCGTGCACCATTGGTGCTTTGCCCATTTGGGTTTCCGGCCGCAGGGCGAGTGCTGGCTGAAACACAATACGTTGTCGTACATCATGTCAAATTATGGGGAGGGACATTCAGGCATTACTTGGACCGCGGGGTCGCTGTACAGCGACGCGGAGTATGCGGAATACCTGAAGCAGCGCGAGGCGGACCTCCAGGTGCAGGGGTGAATCGGGGCTGTGGGTTAGATTGTGCAATCGTACAGGTCACTGCCGTACAACTGGGACATGACACATGAGAGGCCCCCGTGCAGGACAGGGGAACGGAAACGTGCCAAATCTTCATTGTTAGGTGCCCTGCTGGCTGGGGAAGTTGATCCAGTGAGGGCGATGAAGATATGAACGGATAAATAAACATAGCTTTGTCAATGTACGATAGGGCATTTTTCCCTTCGCGTGCGACTTGCGGGTTGGTACGAGGGCCTTGGGGTGAAGAAGAGCTCTCCAGCCCCCCGGTTTTTCCATTCCTGCTTTGCTGCCGTGCCGTACCTCGCCCGTAAATTCGGACTCCACATGCACCTTGCAGTGTGTTGACTGGTTGACATTTGCACATTTAACTCCGACACAGCTTGAGTGCCATTGAACACGGCACTTAGCTGCTTGCCTGTTTCGACCATGTATGGTCTCGTGCTATTGCTTCACACTTTTCAACTTGAGCATGTTCACAGGCGGAGGCTGAGCGGCTGGCGAAGCTGAAAAATGACCCGGAGCTCCCGTTGGTACGCATGTGTCGAGCGGTCTGGTTTTGGGTTTGGGCGCCGAGGAGGGTTTGGGTGCATTGCGTGTTTCGGTCGTTGGGGACTGAAGCTGTTCTGGACATTGTTGGTATGGAGGGGGACTCTCCTCGTAGCAGTACGGCACTCCCCCGGACCGCTTGGCGCCCCACGACATCGCTGGGAACCACGACCGCTGCTACCAGCATGCGTGTGCGTGTATGTGTGTATGTCTGTAAGCAATGCTCATGATTGGTAACAAACGTGGCTGACGTTGCAAAGCCGTGGGACGAATCTTGGACGTTCGCTTAGGCGGCATCTCAGCGCGCGCCATTAGTTGCAGCGCCTTTACGTCCGCTGGCCATGCGTATCATGTTACATGGCTGTCCGATGTGGTGCCCCACGGTTGTGCTGGCGGTTTTCCCTGTGCAGGTGTGGATGGACGTGTCGCTCAACGGTACTCGGTTGGGTCGTATCGAGATGGTTCTGTTCGTGAAGGACGCCCCCAGGGCTGCGGAGAACTTCCGGCTGCTGTGCACGGGTGGGTGCGTGCGTGCGTGGGGATGGAAAGGGGGGAAATCATGTGCAAGGAAACCAGGAATGAACTGCCGGCGTTGAAAAGGGAGAGAGAACAGAGGGGGTATTTTCCCTCCTCTACTTTGCAATACGCGGCTCTTACGGGCGCGTGCATGAGGGAGCGGGTGGGGGAGGAGTTGTTGTTCATTCACAAAAGGATGTCCAACAAAAGGTGGCGGCGTCGGAACAGGTGCAGTAAGGCGCCCGGACTCTCTTTCGTGGGTTGGTCGTTGGGGAGGGAGGCTAGAGACACCCTGTGTGTTCCTAGGGAGCAATGTCTGCGAGGTAAAACCGTGGAAGCCTCTCTCCCCACGGAGTCGCCACAAGGAGGTGGCTAGGACTGCGGTGATGATTGTATGCGTGTCTGTATGTGCATGTGTTGACAACAACACCCTCAAAGGCGGAGGCCACGCGGGCCTGAGGCCACCAAGCAACAGGCGACCGCGCGCAGGACGTGCTCTCTCCCTCTCTCTCTCCGTTCTTTACAGTTGGAATGTGTGGTTGTGTGTGTAGGTGTGTGTGTTCACACCACACGCGTTGTGCCACATCAACAGCCCTGCTTGGCCTTTCGCTGAGTCGTGAGCCCCATGGCAGATTCAGGCACATTCTTCCGTTTGGCGCAACATCCTCCATTCATCCTTAGGACTCCCCCTCTCTGGGGTATGCCGTGTGTACGCTTTCCTTAAAACACTTGGCATTTGACTTTACATAGTTAAACCCAATATCGATCATTACTATGTGTGTTCCTTAATTGTTGCCAGGTGAGCTTGGGCCAACTTCCGGTTTGAATAAGTACCATTTCGCGGTGAGTATTGAAGGTTTGAAGTAGGCGTGCTGGATATGGGACACGGCTGCTGATGGCGGCGGTTAGGAGGGGCGGCCACGGGAGTGGGTGAGGTTTCGCTGCGAATTGAAATGCTAGCCGTGGTTGAGTGTACAAATCAGGGAGTGTTCAGCAGGGCAAGGCTGTGGGTTGTCATTGTCAAGAGGGCCGTACACCGTACCTGGAGGTGGCTATGTGCAGAGGCGACCAATCAGATGGCGAGGTATGGCACAGTAAGATAACTGGCCTCTGCATTATTGCAGCCTGCTTACCACCTATATCTGCCGTTTTGGATAATTGATGGTGTTGTTAGGGAGCAAGTGAACAGCGAGTGAAATCACTTCCTACAAGACGCAATCCTCGCTTGCATCTGGGCACCCTCAAACCCGTCGCTCTAACCCATCCCGCGGTGTTTGCCGGCTGCAGGGCAGCTACTTTTACCGGATTATCGGTGAGCTCTTCGTAGGGTTTTGCCTAATGGGGGGGGTTAGGGTTTGGCGTGAGGTGGTTGGGGAAATCCGGAACGATTTGTAAGTAAGCATCGGTCGGCGGACGACCGTGGCCATGATAGGACTTTAGGGTTAAGGAGCGGCTCGCGGCACCATGGCCTTCACCCTCCGCCCGATAGACCAAAACATGTCGGGGCACGTCGGGACACGGGACCGCCTCTGCTGGCACCGTGTCACCGTACAGCGCATGCAGAAGCCCACAGCGCTACTCCGCCCTTCCTCCCGTGTTCTGAAATCTTCCTGGTGCATCCTATCCCATCCTGCTTGGGCGCACACCCTTTCCCCCTCCCTTTCCCTCCTCATCCTCCTTCCCTAGTCTACTCTCCTCCCACACCGCCCACACCGCCAGCGCCACCTAGGATTAAGAGCCCCCCTTGTGTGTGCGTCGTCCCCTCACAGACCGCTTCATCGACCAGACGGGCGCGCAGGCGGACGGCATCTTTGGGGGGAATTTCCACGACGACCCGGGGGGTCTCAAGCTAAAACACACACACAAGGTAGGGTATCCTTCCAACTGGCAGGGTTAGACAACTTGCTTGGGTTAGATTGCTCATGTGTGACGGGCATCTCCAGAACCTCCTCATGGTCCTCAGTTCATTCACAGTTGCACACATACACATAATCTGTGTACCGCCATCGGGACGCATTTCCCGCATCGCGGCTTTGAAGATCATTAAAACACAAGGTAGGTTCCTGCTCTCCCCAGGAACCCCTGTGTCTCCTAAATAGGCCACTCGCCGATCACGGTCTGACCCCAGCAATAAGGAACATGCACCAAGCATCCACATATGTAATGTATACTAAAGAGTTTATGGCTGTTTTGAATGATGTTGATCTTGTTCGTTTCATATTTTAATATATTAGCACATCGCAAGTGGTCGCCATACAGCCACACCGGGCTAGGTTGGGCGTTGGTGGCGCCACGAGTGGGTGAGCGGGTGGGGGGTGGACGTGTGGGGGAACACACCATGGCGTGTCGTAGTCCAACGGGAGAGTGGTGTTTTTCCTCATCTTCCTGGTCACGTTTCTCCTCATGTCAATGGGTCGTCTTCAGTTGGGGCTTTGATAGCCAGGCAGGCTGCCTCTTAGCTGGCTTTTGGTTGGCTCTTAGCTGGCTTTTGGTTGGCTCTTAGCTGCTTTTGGTTGGCTCTTAGCTGGCTTTTGGTTGGCTCTTAGCTGCTTTTGGTTGGCTCCTGGCTGGCTGGTTGGCTGGCTCTTGGCTGGTTGGCTGCCTGAAGCACTCGGTGCCGCGCCGGTCTACATCCTGTCGTCGGTGCCTCCCGCCTCCTCCAGGGTCTGCTGTCCATGGCGAATGGCGGTCCCAACACTAATGGCGGCCATTTCTCGATGGTGATGGGCCCAGCGCACCACCTGGACGGCAGCTACACCATATTTGGGGAGATCGTCTCGGGCATTGAGGTGCGGCCGCGGCTTGAGGAGAGGCGAGTGCGGCAACAGCAGCAGCAGCAGCGCTGTACACTGATAATGATGGTGGTGGTGATGAGGGTTAGATGAGTAAATGAATGGCGTGAATGGTTTGTTGGATAAAGGATGGTAAAGTGATTAGGACGACGTGGTTGGGCCGTAAAGACCTTCGGTACCGGCCGTGTTACCCGACACTTTTCCTGTCGTTGCCAACATTGTTCACGCGCTCTTACGGTCACTGTTCTTGTCGTTTTCCCTCCCCCCCGTCCCCTCTCCGCACTCCCCCCTTTCACCCGTTACGCTTCCCCCTACCGCCCTCCTTATCCTCCTCCCTACCCGTCTCCCCAAGCACGCCGAGGCCATTAATACTCTTGCCAAGGGTCAGCCCAACAGCGAGCTGCTCCAAAGCAAGTTGGCACAGATTGTGGCGGCGGGTCAGATCCGGCCCGGCAGTGTGGTGAGCACCCCGGAGTTCAGGGCGATCATTGAGGCGGAGAAAAGGAGGGTGGAGTGGAGGAGGTGAGGGAGAGGGGGAAGGGGGAAGGGGGACGACGTGGAGGAGGGAAGGAGGGAAGAGGGGTCGCAAGGGGGAGGAGATACGGGTATGAGGACGGGGTGAGGGGGGCATAATTACGTGCAGCGCACGTCCCACGCTTGTGCTGTGCATTCTGGGCAGAGTATCATATCCCTGTCCCAACGCGGTCTTTCCCGTCCCATTGTCGGCAATTTGACTCTTAAGATACTTCTTCCCGTCCTCCCTCCTGCCCCTCTACCCGCTTCCCTATCCCGCCCCTCTGAACCACCCTGTGCAGGGGCCACTCCATGGCGGAGTTGACACGGTTGCGCAAATTGTCTGAAGATCAGTCCCTACCAATGGTGTACCTGGATGTAAGATTCGTTTTTAAACAACTTAATTTTTTGGGTTGGTTAAGTTTAACATTTTTTTGATTTTTGGAACATGGTGTAGTAACTTGACTTAATATTGAAAAACCCGATAGGTAGGTAATTCCCTTTCCCAGCCCGCACTAATTGTGGACGGTGTCTCTTATCTTGCCCCGCAGGTGGCCATCAAGGGAGTGTACGCGGGTCGTATCGAGATGGTTCTGTTCGTGAAGGACGCCCCCAGGGCTGCGGAGAACTTCCGGCTGCTGTGCACGGGTGGGTGGGTGCGCGCGTGGGGATGGAAGGGGGAAAAGGTTGTTGTTGTTGTTGTTGGTGGTGGTGGTGGTGGTGGTGGTGGTAGTAATGGGGGGTTGGTAGCTGCTTCTGGACGGATGGGTGGGCGATGACTTGGGGGGAAGTAAGGGTGTACTGGTTCTCCTGCATGGGGTGGGGCTGGAGGGCCGGGATGAGTAAGTGCGAAAACTCAGGTAGCGAATAAATGCTGAGGTTGGGCGCCGTTGTGGGGTAGGGGTATTGATGACGTCGGGGCCACAAGTGGACCACAATGGGAAGCCCCCTTGCGAGAAGGGGATGGTTGAATATGTAGGTATAGGGGATCAACAGAATTTCGGGGTTACCCCGGGGTCTATTTGTGCGTGCACAATGCCCTTCTGTTTGATCCCTCACCAGCTTGTTTGGATATGTGCGCATGCATAGCGCGGCCCCTCCAATCTAGCTCCCCGTTCCCTTCCGCTTAGGAATGCACCCTTGTTGTGATACGGTCATCATACAGAGTTGTCATGATACTTCAGATAGACGTTACCTATGAGCGTACCGTGTATGCGTGTGCGTAATGCCGAGGTAGTGACAATGTGGGGGTCGCTGCTGGAGGCCTGTGGCAGGGCGGTGTGTGTTGTTTACATGGTCCGTTTCCTCGGCGTCACCCCCTCTGGGCCCCCATACTCACGCTGGTGCAGGAGAGGCTGGCGTGGCACCCCCCGGGCACGAAGGAGCCGGCCTGCCGTACCAATTCAAGGTACGACATTACATAGCTATCCTGAAATCCGAGCATGCGGGTTACCTGCCTGGCTGGCATGTGTCGCAGAATGCGTCTGCATGCCTGTTTCGAATGATAGTTTTCACGTATGTATGTATGTACCTCTCCCCTGTCCATTCCCCCGCCGCGGCTGCATGTCTGCCAGGGCGCCTACTTTTACCGGATCATAGACTCGTTCATCGACCAGACGGGAGTGAACACCGACTCGCCACTGGGGGGGTACTTCCAAGATGACGCGGGGGGTTTGGCCATCAACCATACACACATGGTGAGTGAAGAGAGGATAGGTAGGTAGCTAGGTAGGTAGGCAGGTAGTTTGGGTCGTGTGGAGAGGTATGGGTACAATGAGGGGAGCTGCGCTTTGGCCTTTCCCTAGCCGATTAGATACAATGCAATGCAGTACGCATGCGGGGTTGGTGCATGCCGACTTCCCTTCCTGCACCCATGCCGTATTGGGTTTCATTCAAACCGCACTGCGAAGGGCAGGGCTGCGTCCGTCCGTCTGTCTGTCTGTCTGTGTCCTAATTGTCTGGTTAAGGGGCCCCCCTGGCTGTAACCCCGTGGCCGGGTGCCGCCCTGCCCCCTCCTTCACATCGCCCCACACCGCCTCCCAGGGTCTGTTATCTATGGCCAACATAGGGCCCAATACCAACGGGGCGCACTTCTCCATTATCATGGCCCCAGCGCACCACCTGGACGGGCACTACACCATATTTGGGGAGGTCGTGGATGGGTGAGAAGCCAAATAACTGAAGTGGCTCGGTGGTTGGTTAACCCTAGCTGCTGCCTTACGGTGGTGGGAGCCTTCCATATGGACGTTCGGCGCAAGGTGCAGTGTCCAGTACTGATTGGATGGTGTTATAGTTGGATCCCGAAAAGGAGGGTCGGTGCGTGAACCTCGGAACCCAACACGCTGTACGGGTCAGTAGATGCGCAAGTTCAGTACTGTGCATGGGATGGCTACATTTGCCGGGCCGCACAGGCCGCCGTGTATCACGCACTTACTTGGCCTCTGTGTGTGTATGTGTTGTGTATGTTTTGTTTTGTGTGCGTGTGTGTGTCCTCTGCGCCACGAATGTTGCGTGGCATCGTGGCCATTCTCCCAATCGCTTTCCATCCGTTTCCTATTGGTGGTGCTTGCCGTCTGCTGGTGCTGCTGACGCTACGGGTGCTGCAACTGAAGCTTTTAATATTCTTCCCGTTACGCTATCGTAGGCACAATGTGGCGTATGAGATCAACGCCCTGGCGAAGGGGCAGCCCAACAATGAGCACTCGGGCAGCAAAGACGCCCAGGTACATGGGGTGGAGGCTTATCCGATATGCTTATGGATGTACGCAGCCATTTGGCTGAGTCAAAGTTGGGTTAGGCAGGGCGCACACTCTGGGCGTCCCTTTTCCCTGGGATAATCCCTTGCTGTCTGGGGCTCGCTGTAACACCTACTACTACTTTCAAGCACAGCAAAACTTGTAACAGTCCTTCTGCAGGCATGATCCTTTTTCGATTGTCTATTTAATCCGTCATTTAAATTATGTTCCTTTTTCATCTCCAATGTGTTCCGTTATGAAATTGATCTCTGCCGCAGATCATCGATAGCGGGGAGATTCGGCGAGGGACTTACTGGGCGAGTGAAGCTTTCCAGTCCGTTATCGCGACGGAGAAGAAGCGGATCAGCGATCAGCGGCAAACCAAATGATCCGTCGCTGGATAATTACTGGAATTTCGAGACAGACAGATACCGGACTTGCAAAGTATCCAGCGGCAGACATCGTGTTTAAGAGTGTTACCGAGTGGGTGGCTCCTGGGCCATATGTATGTATGTATGCATGTATGTGAGGTATGTAAGTGTATGTATGTCGACGTCCGTTAGAGCGGGAGCCGGGGGCATTGGAACCCTTAACATGTAAACAGTAGAGCATCAGGAGGGACGTGCCCTACTTAAGATTGCTACCTTGCCATGGATGGAATAAGAGTAGACGATTGCCGTGGTGGCAGCCGCCAATACGACAGCAGTACGACAGCACACCACTGACCGTCACTGCCGCTCCGTCGCTATCCTGCCGTTTCAGCTTTGCCTGGCAGGAAGAAAGGCCCCCGCAAGCTAGGGTGTCGTTTTTATGGAGTGGTGGCCCCTTTGCCTATCACTATCGGATACAGTTAGGAACCTTTAGAGGACGTGTAGTCGGGTGGGTGAATGCGGGGCGGAGAGCGGCAATTAGGGTGCAGATGCCGTGGCAAGGGGAAATTGCCGTGGCGTCTTGTGATCTCCAAAAAAGGGCTGGTGGATGTGTTCCCATTTCCCAGGTCACGCCAGTTCTGGCTTTTACAAGATGCTTTTTTTCCGCCACCCTTACGCCGGAGTCCACGAAAGACACTGCACTATCGCTAGTTTGAATCTATCGACTTATCGAAAGCTTAATCGGCATGAAGCACCATGTAGTTCGCGACCCAAATTTAGCCAAACTTCACAATCGAAAAAAGGGTCGGACCGCGGAGGATTGTACGTCCGGTCCGGACTGCATGGGACCTGGGTGAAGGCTCTCCAAGATGTACTCATGCACGAGAGGAGCAAACACACCGTCGAAACACGAGAGGAGGCGCTCACGGGTTACAACGCTGCCGTCGACAGACTGGGTATTCACAATCCCCATAACGTTTAATCCGGCCAAACCAGCTTAAGAGGCCTCAGGGTCTTATCGCGGCGCGTTGCACGGCTCCGCCTTGTCCTTGTGACTAAGATGAGCTATGGGTAGAAGGGAGCCTAGCATCAGGTCAGGCATAGCTTTAGTAGAAAACCATGCTAGTCTTTCATAAATTGCTATCGACTTTGAACAGATTTTGGCTGATGTGCTGATTTCAATGATTCGGGGAGAGGATCCCTTCCCTACTCTGGAAAAAGTTATACAAGCAACCTGAAAAAGTGCTGTTGTTTGTCAGTTAGGTTTCGGAGCACCTTACCCGCCAAAACGAGCCTCGCCTGAAAGGGAGCGACAGAGGTAATCTGATTTCGCATCTCTTGCCAGAATGGTGATTACAACGGTAATAGGACTTCGGTACCGGCCGCTTGTTCTTTGCAATTCTCCAAATCCTGCCCCAGAATCCAAATCCTGCTCGTGGCAGAACTAACGAACGAAGCGATTGGAACTATTGCAAAGTGAAGACGAGAAATTTTACCCCTGATTTTATAAGCTCGCCCGTCGATACAAATTCGCAGCTGTAAAAGACAGCAAAGGACGATCGCAAACTGTTTTTTTCTGAATACTTATTTCCATACGTTCAAAGAATGGATATTCTTTCTCCAGCGCTCATGGCGTCGACAAGGTGTGTCACTATACGCGTTGGCTGCCTTTAGACGGGCACCATCTTCCCTGCACAACGTTCTCACGACTCCCCACCGCCCCCTGCCCTTCCTTTCCTCTTTGGCACTCTTAGCGAGGTCCTGGTCGCGGCCGCGTCGACCTGGATGGCTTACCTTACGCGCCTGGCGTCAGCCTCAAAACAGCAGGTGCGTGTCATTTCCTTCCCAGCGTCCCCCACCAAAGGAAAAACCTTGGCTCCATACCTGTTCCCCCCCCATCGCGATATCACAAACTTCCTCCCGACCCACATCCCCTTGAGCTCCTCCATTCCCCCCCGTCCCTCTCCTTTGCCCCGCAGGCGCCTAACCACTCCCCTTCCGCTGCGGGCACCGGCGCCCGGACCCTCGATGTGGTCGACTCGCCATCCGGCCCGCCGCCCGCGAGCACATCCTGCTCCGTGCCGCTGCCAACACAGGCCGAAGTGGCCTCCCTGGTGTCATGTGGGTTGGGACCTGCCCTAGTCTCCACCGTACGGCAGCAGCTGCAGGCAAGTACAGCGCTGGGCTGTACCCCCAAAGCTCCCAATCACACACATTATACACAATAGACCTAACAGCGGCAAAAGTACCACCCGTCCTCCGCTCCTCCCACTTTCCAGGCCATTTTGGAGGCTCAGGCGGTCCCGACGTTTTGGACCGCCATGTTGCGATGTCGTACGGCTGCTGCTGCGGGGGATGACGACTCCCTGGAGCAGCACCTGCTGGAGGGACTGCAGGTGGGTTGTAGCCTGAGGTGGGTTGTAGCCATGCGATGGGGGGGTGGCGGAAGAAAGCCGCCGACTCGGATATATCATGACACCTGCTGGTGTACGTGTTCGATGACGTGTGCCGAACTGCCGGGATAGGTACGTCGTCTCCTTCGCACCATCCTTCTCAAGCCGTATCTCCGTCCCTGTTCCCGCCCTGCCATACCATGTCCTGCCATGTCATGTCCTCGTGCGCGCTATCCTGTCCTGTCCTGTCCGCGTGTCCACGCAGGGTTTGTGTGCCGTAGTGGATGAGCACTGCGCGGCGCTGCAGCAGCTGGCGGCCATGGTGACCGCGGCGCTGCTGCAGGTGACACTGTTGGGAGGACACCGGAGGGGCGATAGGGGGTAGCGATGCAAACAACCGTCTGCTACCATCTGTTATGTCCCTGTTGAAGTGATGGGAAAAGGCGCGCTGTGTCGCGAAGCGCGGACGGGCGGACCCCGTCCGCTACCCCAAGCGCCGTTGGGACCGCCCGGATTGTTGGAAAGGGCATCATAAGCTACAATTTGATGTCTTAGGGTATTTTTTTATGTACAAATGTATAATGATAATTTTTGTTGCATCAGTTACCGGGAAAGTGTTACAAAAGGATATTGGAAGATCTGGACAATGTTATCCGTTTGTCCTCATCCGGTTTGCAGGGCTGCAACGCCGCTTCGCCACTCTCGGCAGGCACCTCGCAGCCGGGGGGCCCGGCGACGGCTGCGGCGGCGTTGTACGGCGAGCAGGCCTTGTCGCTGGTACCGGTGGTGGCGCGGCTGACGGACCAGTACCGTACGGCTGTCAGTGCGTTGCTCATGGCCACGGCGAAAATCAGTGTATCGGGTACGACAGTTGCACGGCCGCCGCGCAAGGCGCGCTAGGGCAGCTACTGCGAATGCCTTGCTGCAGCTGCAGATGTGTATTAGAAGTCACGGATGATGACGTCATGCGGAATACCGTTGTTACAGCAGCGGAAGATTGGAGGATGCGCCCCTCGCTCGCGAACACCCTCTCGCCCGCGGCCATCATTCCCCCCACGGCCCCTCCGCCTCATCTCCGCCATGTCTGCATGCTCGCACGTTGTCCACCACTTCCACTGCCCGCATGACCTTACTTTGCAGTACATCGCCCAACATCCCTTCCAGCCAACCAACTACCTCCCCGCCTAAAACCGTATACACACGCAGAGCTACTACTGCTGTATTACAGCTCAAAGCTGACTCAGCTTGCGCAAACGCTGGCTCCCCTGGAGCAGTTGCTAGAGGCTCAGGAGGACGGTGCTGGGCCGGCTGCTACAGCCGCCGTACCGGATGACGGCGGGGGGGGTCCTGGCGGGGCCGGCAACGGTTCCCTGTTGGCTGCTATCACGACGGCGGGTGGCTTTGGAGCGTTGGGGCTCGGCGGCGGCGGTGACCCACGGGTCAGCGATGGCGGTGGTGGTGGTGGTAACGGCGGTGGCGGCGGCATGGCGGGTGTGGGATCTGCTGCGGCGGTGGAGGGAGTAGCGATGTTGATGGGCTCGGCGGCTGGTGAGGTGTAGGGTTATCGTATGTTGTCGTTGTTGTGGGGTCACCGGGTTGCGCTGAGATGCCTTCCGGGATGCGGAAGTTTGCAGGTCTGCTTCGCTTGCCCCTGATTCCTGAGTTTTTCATTCTCCTCCACCCTCGCCTCAAATGTCTTCTACATAACTGAAGCAGAAAGTTGTACTAGGCATTTAACGGCTCCCTGTCCTGTCCCCGCCCCCTCCCTGTTCCTGTAGCACTAGACATGTAACGGCTCCCCCCGTAGCCCAATTGGACTTCTCCTCTAATCCTTTCTTTCTCCTCATTTTTCCTGCCCCTCGTTCCGTCTCCTCCAGGCGATGCTGATGGAACCAGCTCCCCGCCCTCCCTCCGGCGAAGTAAGGCCCTCCAGCCCTCCGCAGTGGCCGCCAGCATGGGCCCCTCCTGGGTGCGCTGTCTGGTGGGGGTGTGCGGCTGCCTGTCCCGCCTGTCCCTGGGACCCGCGGGCGAGGAGGCGGTGGTGGCGGCCGTGTCGCACCACGTGGAGAGGCTGCTGAGGAAACTGGCCTTCAACGTGTTCGACAGAGAGGTGGGGTCCGAGGGTGAGGGTCTGACGTAATGAGAGAGGAGGGGTCACTCCGAGCTGCCACAAGGTGCCGCCTTTTTGTCTCTCCCTCTCTTCCCTCTCCCTCTCTCTCTACACTCTCTCTCTACCCCCTCCTGTCTCACTCTCTTTCCTCACGTTTCTCTCTCTACCCCCTCTCTTCTCTCTTCATCTGCTTTGCACGTAGGGAGTCGAGGTCCCTTCGAAACCCGTTTTCTTCTCCTCCGCCTTTCCTTTCTCTCCTCTTCGTCGACTTCTGGTTTTACTCATAACTGCCACCACTTTGTCATTCTTTGTACCCCGGTGTCGCGGTCGCCTCCCACCAGGTCCTGCCCGCCGCCAACCGCGCCGCCAACCGCATCCCACTGGAGTTCCTTCGACTGGTGATTGCGGGAGACGGCGGCGCCGCCTCCGCAGCCATAGCCGCCACACCCGCCTCCGTAGCCACCACATGGGGGGCCCCCATGAACAACTCCAGTAGTAACGCCGACACCACAGCACCAGCTTCCATGGCCGCTAACGCCAATGCCGCCAACACTGCCGCCGCGACCACTGTGGCTCACTCCGCATCAACCCCGGCGGCGGACGTGGCCGCTGTCGGCCTGGCGGAGCCGGGTACAGAGGCGCGTACGCTGACGGAGTGGCGGCTGCGGCTGTCGTACCTGGTGTACGAGACATTGGGACGACTTCGAATCTCGCAGATGTTCGATGTCGTGGTGGACTACCCGGACTCGTTGCCCGCCATCGGAGACCTGGCGGCTTGTCTGCGTCACACCAACCTGCAGGTATAGGCAGCGGATTTTTTATAGTGGAAGGCAGCCCCCACCATCTCCAACCCAACCCCAGGATGCCGGACCGGGGCTTACAAGTCCTGCATACCCAGTAAATGGCCCGTGGATGAAGGGTTTAAAAGCCCTTAGGGTTTAGGGAGGTGGGCATCGGGCTACAGGATGGAGGCTCAGTTTGGAAGAGGTAACATCCCCCCGGAACCCCCACCCCCCTCGTCATCCCGAGGTCACAGTCGCCACGGACGCCTTTCGGTCAGTTTTTACGTTTGCTACTCTCTTGCCCTGGCAGCAGCTTCAATCGTGTGTGGTTCGTCTTTCCCCCCGGACCCCTCACTCACTCATTCACTCACACACTCACACACTCTACACACTCACTCGTCTCGCTCATTCTCCCGATAATGGGCCGTTCTAGCTTGTAGATTCCCTGCTGTGCTTCTTTCCGTGTCTTTCTGCATTTCTGTCGCTCTGTCAATACCACCCGCCATCCATTTCAGCCCGATAAACGCTCACGGGTCATGCTCTCCCCGCCCGTCACATTCCCCTTACCTTTGTCCCTCTCCCCTGATACACACCCTCTCCACCCCGGCCCACAACACCCTTAACCCCCGGCCCCCCTCCCGACCCCGCCAGTCCCTATTCGTGTGTTCCTTCAAGGCGGCCCTCCAGCAGCGGCTGCTGCACGCGGGGGCCTCAGCCACCGGCATCATACACCATTACGTGGCCACCATCCGCACCATGAGGGAAATAGACCCATCGGGTATGTGTGTATGTGTGTCTGTCTGTCTGTATGTATGTATGTATGTATGTATGTATGTATGTATGTATGTATGTATGTATGTATGTATGTATGTATGTATGTATGTATGTATGTATGTATGTATGTATGTATGTATGTATGTGTGCATGCATGTATGTATGTATGAATGTGCGTTTCGCTATGCGCCTGTACATGTGTGTCGGTACCTGCGTGCGTGTGAGGTCTCGTGTGGGGGGACTGGAAGTGTTAAAGGCCGCCAAGCCATACGGCCCCGCTGGGTCCCACCCCGAGAGGAGAGACCTCTGATTTTCAGCTGTTGACCACCGCACCGCCCTAACTGCATTTTTAGCATTCCAACTCCCTCATCCCCACAACCCTCATCCCCACAACCCTCATCCCCACAACCCCCATCCCCACAACCCTCATCCCCACCGCTCATGCCATGTCCAACATGTTGTCCCTCCTGACCCTTTCCAGCCCCGAGCCCCAGATTCTGTTGTCCTCCCGCCCCATGATCCTGAGTGAAGCACATGGAAATGGGGTTGCGCCCTCCAGACAACAAGTCCATACCTGAGCCCGACCATTCTAACCAGTCGAAACACTCCCAACCCGGCGCGCACATATTGTCACACACATGCATATATACACACACATACACACACAGGCTCGCTGTTGCATGCGGTGGCGCAGCCCATTCGGGATTACCTGCGAGGTCGCTCCGATACCATCAAGTGCCTGGTCAGCATGGTGACTCAGGTGGGAGTGGGGGGCCCTGTGTGTGTGGGGGGGGGCCGGGCTCGCCACCTGGGGATGACGAGAGATACGGATACAAAAGCCGTAATACAAGTTACAAGTTCCGCACAAATGTGGGGGCCATCCATAAAAGCCGGGGAGGGCCGTAGCCATGACGATCAATAGCCATTATTGTGGCGCCGAGTGAGCGTGCTGACGTCCTCCCCCGTTCGCTCACCTGGGCTCAGCACACCTGAATGCGATGTGCCTCCTGGTAGTCTCCCAGACCCAGACCTCGGAGAAAAAATTAGCCACAGCTGTTGGGAGCCCTACCGCCATAATAGTTATACTGCTGGATCGGGAGCCAATGTCCCCCTCGTATCCAACTCGAAGGCCCCCGTAGGCCGGTGGCCATTCACAAAAGACTTATAGAGTAATAATAGACTTGCACCACCTGAGTGTGTTCCGGGCTCATTACTTTTGTCGGCTGACTGAGCAATATATTTAATTGGATCCGTGGGTCGCTTCTGATGCAGGATGGCGGAGGGCCCAACGGTGAGTCGCTGCTGGAGGAGCTCCAGGCGGCCACGGCGGCGTCCGGGGCGGCGGCGGCAGCTGCCATGGAAGTGGATGTCGCGACGGAGGGTAAGTGGGAGCGCACCGGGAAGGGGGGAAGGAGGAGGGGGCGGTGGGGCCCGTGTTGGGCTTGGACATGACAAAGATTTTACCACGATATGAGAGGAAGCGGTGGTATTTGGAGGCTCAGTAGGGGCGGGTAGTCAGTAGTGGGGGTAGTGCAGTAGCAGGGGTGGTGCTGCGAGTGGCCGCCAGATGTAGTGTGTGTGTAATGTAACTCTCCCTTCTCCCCTGGTGACATGAACGCGGCATTCATGCGCGGTGCAGCGTGTTTAGTGGAGTGGGAGGGCTTGGAAAGGAGGGGGAAGGAGAGGGTGATGAAGGGAGGGGGGACATTCCCCCGAGAGCTCCCCGGCTTCTTCCTCCCGCACCTCCCGCACGTCCCTCCTCACGATCCCTTGTGCGCAGTGCAATTCGATTTCACTCTTATCTCCACACCTCTCTCATATTTACTCAGGGGGAATGAGGGAATGATTCACGCTAAGCCTCACTCTGCCTCACTTACAGAGCGCTTTCCTCCGTATCGCCCTTCCTTTCTTCGTCTCCAGACGCTGACGAAAGAGTGCTTCGAGTGGCGACCGCAACTGCCGCGGCCGGTTTCCCGGGAGTTGCCCCACCGCCGCCAGGTGTGGCTGTTGGCGGTGGCGGCGGTAGTGGAGCCATCATCGCCGCCGCCGGAGCGGCACCTGGCGGCGCCGCCACCGCCGCGGCTGCAGCAGCTGCTGGCAGCTCCGCCGCTGACGTCGTCAGTATGTTGACCGGGGTGTTTGGGAGCCCGGAGGTCTTCATCAACGAGTACCGAAACCTGCTGTGCGGGCAGCTCCTGTATCGTAGTGACTATGATACGGTACGGCGCTGTACGGCACGGTTGGCGTCACCGTTTCTGCAGAGGCCCTGAGTCACTCAGGGCCTCTCAAGGTTTTGACCCAGCCCCTAACCCAAGCACGATGTTGATTATAATCGTACATACTTTGCATTATATATCTTTTATGATCGGTCCTTTATTGTATAGTAGTCTTCTGTCACGGGCGTTCTGTGCGCTTGTGTTCCGTGACCTCGACCGTCTCGTCATGTACGGCAGGCACGGGAAGTACGGACGCTGGAACTGTTGAAGATGCGCTTCGGCGAGAACGCACTGCATGCCTGCGAGGTGGGTGACGCCTATTGCTGTCGCTGCTGGGTCGTGACACGTACACGTAGCGTTGCTGCTTACAAACACTTCAACCTCAATCGATCACTTACCCACTTACCACCACTCTCGCTCCCCATAGTGGCCACATCAACGGCCTCTGAATGCCATCCTTCCCGCCCTCCCAACCCTGCCAACCGGCCTGGTCAGGTGATGCTGAAAGACGTGGCGGACAGCAAACGCATCAACCACCGAGTCCACGCCATGCCCCCAGCCGGCAGTGCCTTACCTCAGCCCGCGTCGCCCATAGGCAGCGCGGTCGCGGCTGCCGCTGCTGCCATGGCAGCGGCGGCCGCCGCCGCCGCCGCGGCGCCACGGGCGACCCCGGCAGGCCGTACAACACGTCAGTCGCAGCAACGCGCTGCCGCGGCGGCGGCTGCGGCAGGCGTTACGCCGCAGGTGCAGACGCGCGCAGCGATGGTGGCGCAGCAGCAGGCGGCAGCCGCAGCCGCCGCAGCCGCGGCCGCAGCGGCGTCCCGTGCCGCCGCCTGCGGCAAGCCTGCCGCTGAGCCTCCCAGCAAGGCCCGTTGTCCGGAGTTCCACTTGCTCTCTGCTGCAATTATTTCATATCTTTTTTGGCCTCGACAGGAGGATCGTGACAAGGTACGAAGTTGCAAGACAAGCCTCGCCAATGCTGCCGTCAGCATCTTCCTCAACCTAAAAAATGCTCCGCAAACTCGGGATCACCTCACACTTCCCTCCATCCGCATGTCGCGATGCATATCCGGATGTTCGCATGCGCTGTCTCATACACGTCAGTTTTCCCTCAAGCAGCATTCCCTCTTCAACACTTTCCTTGAGAATAATGAGTTATGATAGAGGAACATGATGGTTTATTGGCGCAAATAGAAGCACCTGAAATGATGAAATTTTGTTCAAAATTCTCAAACAGGGTACGCCTGACGACCCAGCAACGGGTCTGGTGCTACCCGCCGAGATCCGCACCGCCATGGAGACGTACGAGCAACGGTACCACCACCTCAAGACGCCGCGGAAGCTCCGTTGGAGGCCACACCTGGGCTCTGTGGATCTGGACGTGTCGGCGGGTGAGCAGGAGCTTGTATTTGGGTTGGAGGTTTCGGAGCGTTCTTGGTTTCGAGGAGCTGCAGGACAGAACGGGCGGGGTTGCTTTTGTAGGGTATGTATGTCTGTATGTACGTGTTCTCTTGTGGTGTGAGGTGTCCAGGGAACACATCCGTTACTGAGACACGCATACGGTCTGTGATATGCAGCATGGCAGGCAGCAAGTAATTTATGTGGATACGTTGCGGGAGAAGTAAGGCCTTTGGTCTTTGGGCCTATCTCCGCGAGCTACGGGCCCCGGGTGCTAAGGAAAGGCTTTACGAGCGGTGCGCTCCCCTATCAAGTGCGGATAGCTGCCTGATGTATGTGGTTACAGGACAGTCGCCTTATGACTTAATTTGCCTAGGAGCAGTGAGCGGGAATTGCAATCTGAAATATGAAACATGACATTTTCTTGACATAGGATCGCTGCGTGCCATTATTATGCTTGAGGGCCACCTGCCCACCTCCCACCCCACCCATAACGCCCATAACACCCATCCGCGCCCACCCTGTCCAATCTTCGTTAACGCGGCGCCCCTCAGGCGGTGTGACGGCGAGCTTCAGTGTGTCACCTCTGATGGCCACGTTGCTAATCGCCTTCAAGGACCGACCCGTCATGAGCGCCGGGGAGCTGGCAGCCGCGGTGAGGCCTTTTGGGACTTGGGATTAGAGGGGTGCGCCCGTTTTTGTTGAGGTAACAGGGCTGCCTCTACGGCTTTTTCGTTGCCGCAGCCGGACGATGTTCAGCGGATTGCCCTTCGTTCATAAGCTTCACGGCGCTGCAGGCATGCAGCAACGCACCAAATTGCGATGTCGGGAGATGATGGGCGTCTTTGCTGTTCCTGGGTAGTTCCTTTCGCCATTCCGCCGACAAGTATTTCCTTCCCATCCGAACGGCCTCCGAAAATCCTTTCCCCTGTGCGTGTATTTTGATTTATGGATGTGCAGGTGGGGCTGCCTCCCGCGCTTGTGCGGCGCAAGATGCTCTTCTGGGTCAATCACGGGGTCATTGTCGAGGGCCGGACTCTGCGTGCTAGTGGAGGTGGCGCCGGGGCCAGCCAGGGGCCCTCCGGCGGCACAACGGGCGTTGCTGTATCGGCACAGACGGCCGGGGGAGACTCACACCACCAACAGCTAGTGTACCGGCGGGCTGAGGCTTTACCAGCTGAGCTCCAAGGTGTGCGTTCCTCGGCATCGTGCTATGTTGAATGCTACGCCTTGCGCTGGGCAGTAAGCTTCCTGTCCAGACCGTGCTGCCGTACGATGTCCTGTATTCCGTCTGTGACACTTAAGAAGCCATAAGGTTAAAGGCATATGCTTTAGCGCCGACCCGCTCCGCTGCACGATCCGTGCATGCTGCAGCTTTTTCGTAGACCCTGCAAGCAACCCTGATGTCATCCATGTGTGCGGTAGGCGCGAAACTGACGGACTACGGTGCTGAGGACGAGGCGCCAGCGCAGCTGCCAAGTGCGGCTGACCGTGCGGTTGAGGAAGTGGGGCCATTCGAGAACTACATCAAGGGTGAGACCATAGTTTGAGCCAAGCGCGGCTTGCGGGGTTGCAGGTGCCGTATGGGTGTGCACCTTGAGCCCCAAAGAGTGATGGCATGGCAGGCGTGAAAGGTGGTTGGCGTTCAAGGGCTGGAGGGACTGGATAGGACATGCAGTGTTGCATCCAGTCGCTCCCTCCCTTTCTCGAGGTGGGGGGTTCTGTCTCCACTCATATAACCTGAGTTCGGCAGCGCAAAGGTTTTACGTGCGGTGCCATTGCTGTAGGTATGTTGCAAAACTACGGGGGCCTTCCGTTGGACCGCCTCAATCACATGTTGCGCTTGTTCGTGGTCAGCACACCCAAGTACGACAAAACGCCGGAGCAACTGCAGGTGTGGCACCCAACGCTGGTTAACGAAGCGCACAATTGGAATAAGCGTATCGTCCATGATTGCATTATGATGTTTCTAGTTCTTGCTGCCATAATCCCGTAAGGTCCATGTGGCTACAACTTAATGTGATGCTTTTGTTTGCAGGCCTTCCTTCAAGTTCTAATTGCGCGAGAAGTAGTGGTGCTCGACAACAACAGCATCTACCGACTGGCAACAGCAGCTCCCGCAGGACAGCGGGGACCAGGGCGTTAATTACGTTGGGGTTACCGCGTTGTACACAGATCACATGGGTTGCAAGCCATGAATTTTGCGCCAACGGTGGATTCCCAATTGCACGACGAGTTGCATGTCGATCCACTTTGTCCCAGACCATTGATGTAAAATTCTGTGATCGTGTACGTATGTACCTTATCAATTAGGTTGAATGATACTGTAGCCATGCCGACATGGTTTCAATCAAAGTGGCATATGTTCACGGAATGTACAGCGGCCAATTTCTTCGTATATCTGTCAAAAATGGTCAAGGCAAGACGCTGCTAAACTACGTCTCGAGTTCAACGAACGAATGCCGTGCTGAAGCTCCCGCACACACCTGTGATCGCACGTAACCCATAGCCTGCTGCCCTCAAAAGATCACGAAGCGTGATGGCGGACGCTGCAACATAGCTTCCGTTCCATTTTAATATAAAACATGTTACGGTTGCATGTTAATTAACCACGCCTACCTCCACCTTCCGCAAGCCACTTTCGGTTCCATGGCTTCCCTTTCACCCCTAACCCCCGCCCTCGTCCGTGCAAGTGCCCAGTGCCAGCTGCTTCGCCAATTCATTTGGCACTTAAGTGTCCACACATCCACCTTACGACCGTGTTGTGGTATCCGGTAAGTGGCAACAAATCATCGGAACTCCTCCTCAAGAGCGCGGAAACGGTCAGATAGCTCCTCGTAGACAGTCTTCAGCTTCCGCCTAACCACCTCCTCGCCCTCAGCTGCGATATACAGACGTGCACGGTGTAGAGTAAATTGCGGCAGGGTGGTGCAGAAGACGACAAACAGGACCTGTAACAAGAGCAAACGATTTACAACAGCAGACTTACCCGGATCCTCGAACTTTTGGCTGGTAAGCTTGTACAGCGTGTCGCCCATGCGTTGCTTAATGACGTTGAGAGTAATCTTTTGTCCCTCTGCATTGCCGGCAGCCGTCTTCTCAATAGCAGCTGTTGCCAGGCGATGGAATGTGGAGATGTTCCGCATCATCTCCACGCTCTTATAGAATGGGCAGTACTTATCGTACTTGGTGAACGAGTTCTGCTGTAGGTAGTCATCCTTGATGAACCTACATGCATGCAGGTCACATGCTGTGAACTCGCGGGAGGACAAAAAGTTGCAGGACGTAAATTGCAGCGCAAGGCCAGCACCTGCTTTACTGTAGAATTCTAGGATGACGTGGTTCAATAGTCCGTTCACCATACCTGGCCGTCTCCAGCACGACCTTATCCGACTCGGCTAGGGCGTCCTTGCCCACAAGCTGCACAATTTCATTGAGCTCATCCTCCTTCTGCAGCACCTCGCGGAAGATGGTACGCAGCTGGACAAACTCGGGATCGAACTTGTCGTAGAAGGGCTCCAGCGCCTTTGTGTACTTCGAGTACGAGATGAGCCAGTTGACCGATGGGAAGTGCTTGCGCTGCGCCAGTTTCTTGTCCAGACCCCAGAAGACCTGCAGCGTCAGGATGCAAGGCATTTCATGGCAAAATACGATGAGGGTCACTACAGGAAGACAGGGATACAGCGACAGGGATACAGCGACATGCCTTGAGTAACACCCGCTGCCTAGAGTAACACCCGCTAGCATTTTATCCCTGTCCAAAATAAAGGATGCCCTGAACCGTCTAGACAACACCCTAGATCATCTGTAGTTTTCAGCAACGCCAACATATGCCATCATCCCAGAACCTGTCATAATTTGCGCGGCCACACGCTATTTTGCACAATCGCTACGCTGAAGAAGCCAGCAAATTGTTCTGTCTTATAGAAACAATAGGTTATTGACTTTCCAGCACTCCCATCAAGAAAGCAGATCTACAAGGCGTACCTGCACGATGGCCAGAGTAGCTGCCGTGACAGGGTCCGAGAAATCACCACCCGGTGGCGACACAGCGCCGACGATGGTGACCGATCCCTCGCGCTTTGGCCCACCCAAGCACTGCACGCGACCAGCACGCTCGTAGAAGGACGCAAGACGGGCTCCCAGGTAGGCCGGGTAACCTGCAGTACGTAATAACAGACGGACAGACCGGAGGTAGCACATAAGCTACATCCACACTAGAGAAGCATACGCTTCTTCAGTGCCGTGGGAGCCACGGCGCCTCTTAAGGCGCTGTCCATGTTCCGAAATCTCTTACGTAAAAGAAATGTCACGTAACAGACAAATTAAAGGCTAGTGTTCGCGCATCATCTCGCACAATGCAATGGGAAACATTTCATGCCTTTGCGCATCAGCCACGCACGCCGAAGGGTAGGGACTCCCCCGATACCCACAACGGCATCAGGGTTTTTTCCCGATACCCACAACGGCATCAGGGGTGACAAGGGTCCCTTATCACGTGTGACGTAGATGGACTGACATATGCTCATCGCTTTGCCCAAACATAGCTAACCATCCAGCTTACATGTAAAACGTTACCCAATAGGTAATGCGAATGCTCATACCATAGGCTTCTGTATTCTTCCCAGGACCCAGCTGAAGTCTGCGACCCGACGTGCAGCCCACATTTTCCATATAGTTTAGAGTTTTAGCACGTTGGTATTGCACTGCTGGTAGCAAGCGACCAACAATGGGAGTTCAGCATCCATTCAGAAAGCCCGGGTGATAGACAAAACCTACCGGAATCGGCAGGCATCTCTGCCAGGCGACCCGAAATCTCACGGAGGGCCTCGGCCCAGCGCGACGTGGAGTCACCCATCATAGAGAAGTGGTAGCCCATGTCACGGAAGTACTCCGCCAAAGTAATGCCAGTGTAGATGGAGGCCTCACGAGCGGCCACAGGCATGTTCGACGTGTTCGCGACCTACACAGATGCAGGAATATCGGTGTGGTTCGCCGAGTCTCATCGCTGCATGGCGATGCCACTTTTTTGCCAGGACCGTGAATCTTTCAACCACACACCACCACCGGGCGTCCTTCCGTGTGCAATAACCACCCAAATGCATGCAAAGTATTCTCACGAGGCAATTGTAACCAAGAGCGCGCTTCAGATGCCAAACCATACCCACCAGGCAAGTGCGCTTCATGATGGACTCCTCGCGCCCATCCGGCAAAGTCATAGTCAGTGCCGGGAACTCCGCCAGCACCTCAGCCATCTCATTGCCGCGCTCACCGCAACCCACGTAGATAATGCCGTCAGAGTTTGAATACTTCGACAGCGCCTGCGAAATGACGGTCTTACCGCAACCGAACGCACCGGGGATAGCGCATGTACCACCCAGCACGGACGGGAAAAGCGCATCCAGCACACGCTGGCCAGTCAAGAGCGGCGTATCCGCAATGAGCTTCTGCGCTACCGGACGCGGCATGCGCACTGGCCACAGCTGCTTCATGCTGTACTTCTGCGTGTGCCAAGCAGCATGGGGAAAGGGGCAACAAGTATGTGGAAGGGATACACAGGGGGGTTGCGTGACGGAGCTGATGGCGTCTCTTGGAGATAGCTACCCTTAATAGGCGCTGTGTTGCGCGCACCTTCTTCTGGCCCTGGAAGTCCACCTCGATAATCTCCTCATCCACGTTGTAGTGGCCCGACGAGGCAATGTAAGTGACGGTACCGCGCGCTCCAGGCGGAAGCATAAGGCGGTGCTCGATAAGGCTGTTCTCCGCAACGATACCATAAATATCTCCCCCAGTGATGCGGTCACCAACCTGTAAGGACAGATCAAAGACTCTCGTTGCCGATCGGTTTTCACCCGCCCTGAACACTGCAGAACGCACCTTAAAGCCCTTGGGGTGGAATTCCCATTGTTTAACAATATCAAGAGCGGGGACTGCCACGCCACGGGGAATGAACACATCACCGCTTTGCTGGGCAATTTGCTTGAGCGGGCGCTGAATGCCATCGAAGATGTTGCCCAGGATACCAGGGCCCAGCTCCACGCAGAGAGGCTACATTAAAAAGAACTTCATGAATTAACTGTTTCACCGATGTGGCGGGAAGCACTTTACCTTCTTTGTGCGCAGCACGGTGTCGCCCACGCACAGGCCAGCCGTCTCCTCATACACCTGCACCGGCAGCAAACCGCATGAAGAGCCTTTAATCGCTGCCATTAATATCGGTGCTTCTATAGTCAGCTAAATTGGCACCTGGATCGTTGCGCTGTCTCCCTCCAGACGAATGATTTCACCAATCAGATTGTCAGCTCCCACGCGCACAAGCTCATACATGGCAGCTCCGGCCATGTGATCAGCAATGACCACAGGTCCGGAGACCTTGCGGATGTAGCTGCGACAGTCATATCGGGAAAGAGTCAACGAGAGCTTAGGTGTAAATCACTACTTGCACAAGCGCCTACCCATAGTCGCTCTCCTTGGCAAAGTGGTCCGCCATGTTGCCTAAGTTTCCAGCCTTCACTGGATACACATCTTCTGTCGGAAGCTGAAGCGGAATATGGCATTACAATTTCCTCGTACGACAAGGAGACCAATTTCACTTGACTCTGAGCCTCCTTTCAATTCAGGCAATTATAATCTTACCGGTGTGCACTTGAAGCATAGATGTCGGGTAATCTGGCAATTCTCGCGGCCCCTGTCAGTTGCGGGTTACCGGTTCCGCGCACAAGTGCGGGAATCTTCTCATAAAGCCGCGGGACATGGACTTGCAAGCCTCATTAGATCAGTGACGTGGGTGCTGGACCCGATCTAAATGGTCCTCTTCAGCGCCTGGCTCATGGACGCCGCACGCTTCGTACACGGTAGAAACAGGCTACTCCCTTGGGGTGCTGCCTAACTCATAACCATAGGATCGTCGCGCGCCCCAGCAAATCATAATCCACAGACACATCTTTTCCGTCGCAAGTTACAAATCACAAGTACCTTACTGCTAGGCACAGCCAACCGGGACAGCGACTGGGGCGACTGGGGACTTCCCACGACAGTTTACGACAACGCGGCGGGATCTGATGAACCAGCAGAAAGCAGACGACACCGGTGCCGCGACGGACCTCAGCATTACATACACACGTACATACAGCACCGGCGCGGCGCGCAGAGGCCACGGCACCTCTGCAGAACGAACAGAAAGCAGAAAGTCACCAAACGGCGATATCATAGCGGCGAAATTTTGAAGCGCCCATCCCCATCCGCAGTAGTAGTACGGGTTAGTGCTCCAATTGCATGATGAATAATTGACCTCTGCCATGAACCTCGTAGCATTGCTACTCCATTATTACATCATTGGCGACAGCAGCCCCTACCAAGTCATTGGGGAGTTCAACGGGGCCAAACCAATCATAACAGCAGCAGCCTATATCAGTGCCAAACAGGCCTTAGCAGCCTGTTTGGCACTGTTGAAAGGCCCAATGACCTGGTAGGGTGCACGCACTCCATCAGTAATGCGCTCATGCATGCTGCTAGCGGGCTCCGCCGGTAGGGCCTGCCGGCTGATCCATGCATGAGCTAGTTCCCGCCAATCAGTGAGCCCCTCAAGTACCGGGCAGCAGCTAGAGCCCAACGGAACGTAACCAGATGTACAAAAAGGCACGCGAAGGCAGCACACGGGAGGGCAGGATGAGACATTTCGTAGCCAAGTGTGGGCATGATCAACGAGCTTTGTGGCGGGCTTTGGGAGGGAAGTGAGAGGACGATGTGCGATAAGTGATATTGAGGTTTTCAGGGATAACTTTGCTTTGATGTTAAATGCAGGTGTGGGGGAGAGGGGGGCTGATGGCGCGGAACGGCTTTTGGACTTCATTAACAACACCTAGAGGGACAGGAAGGCGGACATCCCACTCGGTTTTGGGCAGGACTGCGCAGGCAGCAGAAATCCTAGACCCACACTTCACACTGGAGGAAGTCGCACGTGCTGTAGACCGGCTGCCTAACTGTAAGGCCCCAGGACTGGACGCAATACCATCGGAGTGTTACCGCTATGCGCGCATGCCTAGAGAAGAGTAAGGCTCTGCGTCTGAGTAGAGGTAGGGGCAGGCGACGACGGGAAGCGAATCAGCTTGTTCCGGTGCCGCTTATCCCTATTCCTTCCCCGTTCCTTCCCTCCCCGGCCACCCCCGGCCTCATACCCGTTCGGCTTATCATAGCTGACCAGATTCCTTGATTCGATTCCTGGGGAGACCCCCGACACTGTCGGGAGCGTGAGATATGGCTAGCTGCTGAGATGTGAGTTGAGGTCACAGTTGATGGACCGAGATTCGCACGCTGGATTGGTGGCGATTGCTGAACCCTCTGTCTCAGCGAATGTTCGGGTGACTGGATGAGGAGGGATCCTAGAAGGCAAGATCAACCGCCTTGGACTTGCAGTTCGTGTGGCGGAGTACAGTGTGGTAATGGTGGATGGTGCTGTATGGTGATTGATCGTAGGCGTGACATGAATTCAAGTGGCCCAGAAGCCTCCCACTCTGTAACAACAATAGCTGACCAGCCAGGGCGACCAGCCACACAACTTTTTCGTTATTAGCTTTAGCCTGGACGTCTCTCTCTGTCGTCCGTCACTCCAGCCAGTACATATAGTGTAGCTGCAGCAATTGCAATATTAAAAGTCCTTTTCATGCACTGGATCACCCACACCATCTAATTTGCTGCCAAGATAAACTAATGTGGAAGGAACGACATCTCCGAGAAGTATGGAAAGAAGTCTTGTTGAGTCTTCATGTACATGGAAAACGTTGCATCCAAAACAGATATGATTGGATGGATTCTGTTCGCGTGCGGGGCCCCAGCCTCCTCCACGCCGTCACCGTCAGTGCTAATGCCAAACCGGCCTGCCAAGACAACTGTCGCGCTAAGTACTTAGACGATGCCTACAGTGCCGTCCTTCGGCCACACTCCTAGCTACTGCGCGGCCGCTTCCCGCTGCCACCGCCGCCACCACGCCGCCTCCCAGCCTGCTTCAACTGCCTTGCGCTCCGCTCCCGCTTCATCAACTCCAGTTTACGCTGGCGACCCTCGGCCTTTCTCGCATTGTGCCGCAACCGCGCCGACGCCGCTGCCGCAGGATCCAGCATGCCACGCATTGCCGTACGCCGCTTCCGCTCCGCACGCAGCCCGCGGACGTGCTCCCTCGCGGCATTGTACGATGCCAACAACACCTCGCTGCCCACCAGGCTTCGCAAATGTGCCATCACCTCCTCCGCCAGCTGTCGTACATCTTCCGGCACCCGGCTGTTGCCTGCAGCGGCAGTCACGCCACTGTGGCGTGCCGCGGCTTCGCCAGCCGCGGCTTCCGAAATACGATACAGCGGCCTCAACAAGACTGGCAAATGCGGTGCGATGGCTTCGGCGCCCAAGGCCGACGCGGCGGCTGCAATCCAGCGCAGTCCGGCGGCACGTTGCCGGGTACGAGTCCACCGGGCGTCATCGGCGAGGCGAGCCATGCGCCGTACGAGGCCACGCAGTGTAAAGGCACGCCGCTGCACCTGCGTCGCCATGCTGATGCCATCAACCTCGTCGTCTGCAGCGTCATCTGCCGCCTCTGCGGCAGCAGCACCCGCCGCATCCTCCTCCTCTTCAACCATTTCCCTATCGGCAGCAGCTTCCCCGACCCCACCGTCTTCCTCTTCAACGTCCTCGTGTTCGTCACCCTCCCCATCCCCACCAACACCACCATGGCTCCTACGCCGTCGCTTCTCCCTGCCCTCGTCCACGCCATCCTCCCCGTCATCATCGTCATCCGTATTTTCCCCGCGCCTCTCCGCGGCCATGCCATGTGGGGCCGCTGAGCCGTTGGCCCCGGTAGCTCCGGAACCAGGATCCAAAGCATCCGCGATGACAACTCGTGACCGTTTTCGGGACGGCTGACCGTTAGGTTCCTGATTCCCCTGGTGCTGCATTGACTCGACGGACTCGCTTTGGAGATGTACGGAGAGACTAACGAGACACTTGACAGCCTGTGCGTGGCGTGAGGACGAGGGGGTCACCTTGCCTCTGACCTGCTTACACTGGGGTTTTAGCTGCATGGCTCCCATGCATCACGCTTACAGGCGCGTCCATTCAAGCCCATGGGAGCCTAAGCTGATCAACTCCAAATCGGTGGGGTGAGGTTTCAGCAGGTACGACCTTCGTGTTCGGCGTAACGGCTAAAACGGTCATGCGCCAACACATCCCAACCACCCCAAACTGCTAACCTGCATACTTCCAGTTCGGTCATCCAATGTCACCCCGTTTCTCCATCCCACTTCATCTTCCCTTCGTCCCCTTCCCTTCCACTTCACAGCCCTGCTCACCTGTAGGCACGTCGGCTCATCAGCCGCCTCACACTCGAGCTGAAGGAAAAACGCAAACGCCAGCTGCCCCGCACGGCCCGGCCGCGCCGCCATAAGGCCCCCGCATACCCGCGGCGCCGCCAGACCGTACCCTACCAGCCGAGCCGCTGCTTTGCGGACCCACATGTGACGATGCAGCAGCAGCCTTACAGTAGCCTCCCAGAGCTCCGGAACCAATGGCGGGGCAGCGGCTGACGCCGGGGCCCGACCCGTGGGCCACGCCAACGCCGAGCTCGCTTGCGCCGCCACCTTCTCCAGCAATAGGAGGCAGTAGTAGGCCTCCTGCCAGCCCGGGCACGCAGCTTCAGCGTCTGCGGACTCCTCGTCGAGTGACGTGACCCATGGGTCTTCTTCACCGCCGTCAGCACCCAAGGCCACCTGAATAAACCGACGAATGAACGAGGGCGTGCGAGGAGCACTGAGCACAAGAAGGTGCATGACGACGTAATTAACGCTTCATATCGGAAGAAGAACACGACAGCCCCCCAAATGCAAAACCCTTGTTATCCTAAGACAGGAAACGGCGGTGCACCGTGTAGGGGCCACCAGCCAACCAAAGAAATATCGGAAGGTTTTGTGCGACCGGTTCGGTATAGCATTATGCTATTATGGCGTCTGCGAAGGGGTCGGTCGGTCAATATGTGTCCAATGTTATTAAAGGGAAGGGGAGGATAGAGCCGTCCCGGCATCATATGGTACCATGTGGTGCAAACCTAGAGCTCACCTGGCGCTCCAAAATCCTCAACACCCCGGGCGCCACCTCCGCCAACCGCTTCGCGAACTTTGCCCCCTCCACCTCCGCTACAATGCCCAGCGTCTGCGCCGCTGCGCGCCGCAACACCGCGTCCTGCGCGCTGCCTCCGCTGCCACCTCCTCCCCTCTCTAGCCACGCGCGGCAGTAGCTGACCGCCTTGTTCAGATGCTCCGCTTCCAGCCGGAGGAGGAGGGACCTCAGGACGTCGCCGGCGGCAGCGCGGGCTTTGGCAGACGAGTCGCTGACCAGGCGCACCACGAGCGGCATCAGCAGCACATCGGCCTGAGCCTGCGGCATTTCCGGTGCAAAGACCCATCAGAACATATTACAATCATAACAGATATCGTGCAGAAATATGTGTAAGGTGGAACGACCATGGCAGCGTCCATTCGCACAGAGGTCATTTGGGAGGAGGTCGACGGGCCGGCTGGCCGCCAAGTTCGATATCGTGAAACATCCGTAAATTGTTCTGGCCGCCCTTTCCCCCTTTCCCTTAACCAGCGCCCCCGCCTTCACCCCCACCACCTCGTTTTGGATTACAGCGAACTGGTGCTTTGCACGTCAACGGTTGACCGACTGCATGATGACTTGTTGCCATTTTTTGAGTAAAACGAGAGTAAAACCTCCCAGCCCAGCCCAGCCGAGTCCAGCCTCGCTCACCCCACCTGCAGCACCTCCTGGGGAAATTTAGCCACCACCTGCCCCATCATGTCCAGAACCTGCAGTCGCCCGCTTTCGTACTCGTACTCCAAATTCGCCAACAAAAAGCCCACGTGCTGCCGCAACCGTTGGGGTCCCAATGGAAAATCCAACAGAAACTGCAGCAGTGCCACCCCACAGGCGGTCCGTACAGGTGCCGCCTGGCTGCGCACCATAATCTGCTGCACACGATCCATCACGTCGTACACCTCCGGTACGATGACACGTCGGCCGAGCAACGCGCGCAGCAGCGCAAACGAGGTCGGCTGTGCGCCCGCGTCGCCCAGGTCCTCGAAGGCCCAACGAAGCAGAAATCGCAGCTGGGCAGTTGTGGGCTGGTAGGCGTCGCAATCACGGAGAAGCGCCGCCAGGAGTCGGAAGCACTCCTGTGCGATGGGGTGACGAATGTTAGGGACCTTCTTCAGCAGCGCCGTCAGCGCGGCGCCGGCGGAGGGCGCCGCCGCTGCCATGGATGGTAGCGGCAGCGGAACCACATGCGCCAGCGTGCGCAACGCAAGGCTGACGCAGCCAGCGTGACGGCTTCGGAGCGATCGTACGAGCAACGGCAACGCTGGATCTAGCAGCACCATGAGCTCCGGGGACCGGCCCGTCAGGGCGCCACGTTTGACGCCGCTGTGCAGCAGTGTCAAGCAAAACTCAAGAATGAGGGTTTCATGGAGAGCGGCGCGCTCGTCGCCGGCAGCACCAGCGGCGGCGGCAGCAGCCGCTGCCACAGCCGCAGCTGCAGGCGCCAGCCCGGCGGCGGCGCTGGCGGCGGGACCGACGGCGGCCTTGGCGCGGGCCCGTGCGGCCTCCTCCCTGGAGAGGCAACCCTCCATAATTCCCACCACCAGAGCCATAATCTGCGCAAAAGACAAAACTTCAGGGACTGAAGGGAAAAAAACCCAAACCCACATAGTGTACAAAAAACACTCCTAAAAACTCTCATCTAGTAACCAAAGGTAACAGGGAGGAATCTTAAGGATGGGCCTGGGGCGATCTAGAGAGGGTGAAAGGAATAAAAAAGGGAAAAAAGACACCGGCTCTCCGCGACCATCCCATCCCCTACCGGTGCCTCATCTGCCCCAACCGGCCACCGCAACCAGCCCTAGGCCCCATTCCAACCCGCAGCACCACCCACCGGCTTTGGTCCCGCTGTGGGATTGGTCCTCAAGCCGCGTGCAGCGAACTGGAGCAGCTGTGTCAGCTTGGCCCTAATTGTCGGCTGGCCCGCGAGATGGAGCCTATCGGTGACAAGGCTGAGCAGCAAACGCATGTGGGTGGAGAAGGTGATGCCGGAGGCGAGCAGCTGGTAGGCCTCATTGGCACGGCAACGCTTGGCTTCCTTGTACTGAGCGGCAAAGGTAGTCACTTCCTTGGCTTCCGAAACCTGCAATCATGACCCATGGGTCGTCCAGGTCGTACATCACAACGGTTAGGTTAATCAGGGGCTCGTGTGGGTCAAGAGGTTCTGGGGTTCAAGACTTCAAAAGTCGTGACGTCGTCCAGAGGCTTGGGGGGGAGCGGGAAGGAGGTAACAAGAAGGAGAAAGCGCAAGAAGAAAAATGTGTCGACAGCGCAGCGGGGATAGTAGAAAAGTAGAGAGGCATCGCTCCAAGATGCACTCCGGCGGTTGGAAGCTGCTGACAAGCAAGACCCTAAAAGACAAGGGGCTTAAGTGAATGCTTACAACGCGAGGGACAGGGGTCGTCATATGTCATAGCCGTGCTTACCTCCCCAAAGAGATCTGCTTCGATCAGCGGCAGGCACAGCTCAATACTCTCGTCCAAAAACCCCACACCGCCGCCATCATCTTCCTCCTCCTTGCCGCCGCCCTCAGCACCCCCGTCCTCGTCATCCACGTCGTATCCCTGCGGCGCCGCGTCGTCGCCGCCGCCTGCGGGCTCCGCTACCGCCGCTGCCGCCGCCGCCGCCGCGCTCTCGCCATGCGCTACCTTAACCACGGCCTCGAGTACGGCATGCAATGTATAGCCGATCACGTGTGCTGTAAAGCCGCGGTCCGGCAGGGATGCACGAAGCACGTGACAGGCGTACGGCAGGTAGCGCGGCCCAAGCTCTGCCATCATGGAGACCAGTACGGCACGTACGTCATCGCGAACGCGCTGAATCCTTGATCTCAATAAGTTGGCGACGCCCTGCAGGAAGAATGCCCCCAAAGGAGAGCCGGGAGAGAAGCCAGGAAGGATAATCCCCAGGCGCATGGTACGACGAAGAGGCAGCTAAGAGACGCGCATGGGGGGAACCACTTCCTAGCCCGGTCAATCCTTTTCCAAACCCGGACAGACCCGTCCTAAACCCAAACATCCTTGTAATGCAAAGCCCATAGGCATTTTCTCGTGCAGAACAGCTTGTATTGTAACAAGTGGACGTAACAAGGGGTCCTTACAACACCTCTCCTTAAGACCCTTCCAAAGTTGTATCCCCTATTGCCATCCCCGGCAAGGCCGTAGGAACAACCCCCAACACTGGACCTTGTTCACCCCCTCATCCAGTGCTGCACTGCACAGACACCCCGCTGAAGTACGACCCGCGAGGGGGCTCACCTGCAGAGCGCGAGGAAGCTCTGCACGCTCCGCCGCCGGCGGCAGCAGCTTGAGCAGCTTCACAAGCGCCAAAGCCACCGGCGCCCGGACCGACGCCGCCTCCTCATCGTCACCTCGCTTCCGCTCCACCAGTTGCTCATGCAGCGCAGGCAGAACACGCACCAACAGGGAACGCTGTACGGCACGAGCCTCCGTCGCGGCGTCGTACACTGCCACCGCGGCCGCCACGTCGTCCTCATCTGCCTCGTCGTCCTGGTTTTGAGCAGCCCCCTGGCCCCCACCGCCGTTCTTCTCCTCCTCCATCTCCTCCCCACCATCTTCCTTTGGAAGAGGGAAGTGGAAATTGTCGAGGATGGCACACACCGCTCGGATGAGGGGCTTGGCGGGCTGTGTTCGCATCATCCGCATAAACTGGTTCAAGAGCTGCTCGTACTGCGGCCATGGCAGCGTCGCTGCCACCGCGCCCAGCGCCGTGATGGCGGCGTCGGTAACGTTCGCTTCTTTGTCCACGTCAGACTGTTTCTTGTCGTGCGCACGTATGTCGCCGCCGCCGCCACCGGCGCCCTCTTCGATGAACTGGTGGAGTAAGGGCACGATGACGTCCATAAGGCAGCGGCCCAGGAGTGATGGCGGCGCCACCGCTACCGCCGCTGGCGAGGCGGCACTGGGTGTACAAGTTGCCATGTTAGTAGTCGTCGCGGCTTGTTGAGTCTTGAGTAGCTTGGTCAGCTTCGTTAGGGCTCGCGTGCGCCTGGAGGAGGCGCGGGGTGTAGGGAGGGGTATCAGACATTAAGTTAAATTTGGATGAAACTACAAAAAGCTACAAAAAGCACAATACGTAAATCGTGCCAAAGTTGTACTCTGACGACAGTTGTGCGCCTGCAGCATGCATGGCGACAGTTAGGCGACCTCGTAGTTGTGTCCCTAACTGAGTTCGGTTGTCCATGGTGCTTGATTCCCAGCATCCCCGCTGAGCCTTCGTTATCACACCACACCGGTACCGGGCCGTCCTCATGTCCAAAAAGAAGGGGTTATCCCGTAGCAGCTAGAGCTGTGCCGAGCAGGTAAGAGGTGTGCTCCTGGTCGGTTGCGAGTTTGCGGGGGTTGCCATTGGGCCACACATACAGTGTTGCGAGAGGTTCGGTTTATGCGCCAGCGAGGTCCTCAGAGGAATACATTGGAACAGCGCAAGTTTCTCCTCTACACGGCAGACCGTAAAATCCTGTCCACTGTGTATAAAGAAATCACCTTGCAAGGCATCAGAGATTTTGATTTTCACTGTACTTTAATGGATCATTTTCCATTGTCACAATTTTGATAGATCATCATATGCCAAGCAAGCGCTTCTCGTTACATGAATACCAGTCCTAAATGTGCACATCTCGTAACATCATGTCAGGATATCTGTCTTGAACAAGATTCGAACCGGTGCCCCCCTTATGATACCATGCCCGAAGTCTGGAGACATAGCTCCCAACAGCGATGAAACAAACATGACAATGCCAATACTTGTACGACCAGCTAATCCAAATCTCCCCGGCCATTTGCACATCAGCTCCTGCCCCGTCAAGGTACCTGGTAGTCTTGCACCGGGACTTGCATGGCGGCCCATCCATGCACCCGCCCGCCGACCCACCTGTGGCTCTGCAGGTGCGCAACATTGTGGAAGAAATCCGTCTCCACATCGTCACTCAGCAACGGCGTGAGGACATCAAACCGGCGCGGCAGTGCCACCACCAGCGACCGCAGCAGCGTCAGGTGCTCCTGCCGTACCGCCAAACTGGGCGAGCACAGCTGGCTCTTGATCTGCGGGTACAAGACTCGGCCCGTCAGGCGAAGAAGGCTTTCTGGCGGGTCCACCGCCGCTCCAGCTCCAGTGCCCATGTCGGCAGAGGCCTCCGCCGCCGCCAGCGCCTCCACCAAATTACCCAACGCCGCTGCCGCCGCTTGACGCAGCGCCAAATCGCTAGCGTTGCGCAAATCGTACAAGGACGTCAGCAACAGCGGCAGCGCCTGCAAACGGTCCATGTCACCCCATGCCGCTGCCGTCAGGCTGCCGTACGCCGCCAGACGGCGGTCGTAGTCGACCTCGTCGAGTGCCGCCGGTGACCAGGCCGTCAGCTCCGTCAGCAGCGCCGCTGTGCGGGTCATGTGCGGCAGCAACCTCGCGACCGCACCGTACGCCGCCGCCAGCTGCGCGCGCGCGTCACGAGCTGTCAGGCGGATAGCCCACATGGACATTGCCTCGCAGTACCTGTACAGAAATCACAGGATTTTGCACAAATACTAGTTTGTTACGCGCGAATTCAAAAGGCAATCGGGAAGTGCCATGACCACCATGAGCTTCAGATTTCTTGTGCATGCGTACGTTTTCATGTGCGCCGTTTTCATGTCCTGGGCTCAGAAGGTTGCTTCGAAGTAGTTCTCATCACGTGTCATTTTTTCAGACAACGGTGAAATAATGTAAAAAGATCATCATAGCCCAGGATGCCGCATAGCCTTATGGCGCACACATGCGCACATAAGTCCACTGTTCCGTTAGCTTCATATAGAACCAGTCGTAATGCCAACATGAGCGTCGCCTAAGCGGCTGAAAGACGTCGTTAAAGTACATCAAGGGGGGACGCGCATGCGGAGCCATTGCTCAATCCGGGCAACCTTCGGTCGTGCAAGTAAACACTAGAAGAGAGCTTGAACCAGATTTACACACAGAGGTATTGACTTACGCTTTACGCTTAGATAAAAAGGAGGTGCCAAATCAAATAGACTTCGGAAATAAGACTTGTGAAGGGTGTTTGCAACGCAAGGGCGTGGCCTGAAGGTACTAAGGAGGAGTTTCGGTGTAAGTGCGATTTTTTTATCACGTCTCAATTCCAGACAACAGTGAAATATCTTGAAACTCATCATTGCACCTCCCTCTAGGGATCTTGCAGCCTTTAAGGATTCCCAACTGCGTCGTCAAGCCCGCTCTTCTGTGCGTCCCTCTCCACGCGCCAACAAGTACCAACGTCCCCCCAACCCCCCAAGACCAACACAAGAAACGTAACAACACGACGTGGACCGCGTCGCTGGTCACATGGTGCTGCCAGGCCGGTGTGGCACGGAGTTCACCTCGGTACCAATCATGGCCAACCTTATCTTATGGCTTACACTACACGATGCTTGGTTCGGGTGCGGACAGCAGTTCACGGATCCACGGATTCACTCGACAGGACCAAAACGCACCAAATGCAGTACTCAGGCAAACAGGCACAGAGTGCTGCACAGCACTGCACACAGTTCTGTGATGACCTGTTTTGCATTTCCACACAATTCCACGAAACGCAACAAGCACAAAAAGTAGACAGCAGGAACGCATCATCGCGCATAAACAGCACAACTCCATTCCACCTGCATCTAATCTCTCTCTATCTGGCACCACGCACCTCGCCACGGCGTCCTCAGGAAGGTCTCCGAGTCGTAGCCGGCCCCACAACGCAGCCAGCGCACCCAGCGCCCGGCTGATACCGCCCTCGTCCAGCCGGCCTGACTTACTAGAGGAACGCTGTCGCGCACTGCGGGCACCTTGGATTGGCAACAGCAACAGCAACAGCAGCCGTATTAGGAACCACACGGTATAGGAATAGGCAGGATGAATGCGGAAGTCAAAGCTTGGGTTTCAAGTTTTAAGCTATGCACAGCAGCAGCGGCAACGAGGACGGGTGAGGTTTGCTGGCTTATGGCGTTCGGGCGCTAGGGTCGTCAGGCGAGCGGAAGGACATGTGTAAGAGATTTGTACGAGGTACACACCATGAAGGGAGGTTTGGGGGGCGCATTACAACACGCACACAAACCATCTGCGGGAAACAGACGCGCGGCCTGGGGAGCAAGGAAGGAAATGTTGGGTGGAAAACCTAGGAAGGGAAGGGAGAGGGGTGTCGCAGCCGTGACGACCCCACAGGCGAAACTGCACTAGGAAGCCCCACAGTCCTGGGCTCAGAAGGTTGCTTCGAAGTAGTTCTCATCACGTGTCATTTTTTCAGACAACGGTGAAATAATGTAAAGAGATCATCATAGCCCAGGATGGCACATAGCCTTATGTGTTGTACATGCGCTTGTGCCCACAGTCAACATTCCACACGTGCATACAGATGGATGTAATAGAAAATTCTACCACGTCGCTGGACTGCGGAGCATGCTTCGATATAAAAGTTGTCCCGGTATCATCTACCCTCTTCTCGTGGCTCGGACATCATAACATATGCAAAAACGTGCACACCCTTACGCGCACAGGTGCAAGAACGTCCACGCATGCACCTGGAGGCGGAAGCCCCTCTACCGGAACAGGGTACCGTTGCTGTTGCGGTTGTTGCTGCTGTGCCTGCAGCTGCTGCTCCTTCCGTCTGATTGGCCCTGGTGCTGTTGTGGCAGCACAAATTACCCTAGCTGCTGTGTCTGCTGCTGTGTCGCTCATGGTCGACCCGCACTGCGCACCCCAGCACCCCAGCGAGCCAACAGCCGCTCACTAGCGCCACTCACCGGCCTGGGTCAGCAGGGCCACCAAGGAGTCCGCCAGGCTCCTGGCCAGCTCCGAATCCGTCACGAAACCACCCAACCGCTCCAAAATGGCCAACTCCCGGTGCGCAGTGGAAGTAGGCGGCCGACGACGGGCCTGTGTGTACCGCGGCAAAACAAACGGTGGTGAGTATCGTGTAGTGTAGAGTAGCTGTAGTTTTTAAGTATACTGGTTAAGTGTGTATGGTTTGAATTACATCACATGCTTTAGCGTAGCGAAGCAGTTTGCAGAGCAGTGGAATCCAGCAGCAAGCCAAGTTTAACCGTGTTCCTTCATGCACTGCAGCGCTGCGGGGAGCATTGCGGGAACCGTTGGGGCGTTAAATACGAAAGTGTGAAAGCTTCGATAGCAGCGGCCGGTTCCTCGACAAGTGCTCACCCAAGTTCTGGGCGTGGTGCGGCTACAGCAATGATACACCGCCTAGGTAAAAAGTATATTCGTAATTTTTCTACTTCACGCAGCGTTGTATTGAGTGTAGCACTTCAATTCCGCCATATCATCCTACGCCACCGCTGCGTGTGGCAGCGTCTAGTTTTACCGCAGTCTGCCCTTCTGTTTCCTCGCCTTGTAGCTTCTTGAGGGTCAACATCGAAACACATCGGACACAATCTCGGCTGGCCCAGCCACATAACCAAATCCGCAACCCCCTCAACCCTTCCGCGAACGCAGCCTTCTCTTCTCACAAGCAAATGCAATCCCCTCCCCATAACCCGAGTCCTCACCCGTCCGCGCCCGTTCCCAGCCAGCTGCCGCTGCTGCTGCTGCTGCCAGCTCTCCGCAATCACACAGTGCAGCGCCCGCAGCACGTCAGGCAGGCATGGCAGCAAAATCCGACGCAGCAGCCGCTCACCGCAGCCCAGCACCCCGTCCAACACGTCCAGCACCGTCGCCCTGTCGTTCGGAAGGCAAATACCATTTCACGTGGCAGGTGCGTACGACAGATGGCTAGGCCTGGTGCCTCTCCGCCAAAATCCCTCATCTCACCAGACCCCGGGGCCTCCAACCCTCATAAACGCATGCGACCTAAGCGAATCGTAAATTCCGTTTTCCAACTATTCCCCCCCCCTATGTACGTTCCATGACCCCCTATTCCCGTCCATAACCGCCCTAAATCCAAAGCGCAATGACAAACCCACCCGTCCCCATACCTGCCTTTTATATATATCCCAGAACGTCCTCAAAGCCCAAATATCAAAAATCTAATCCAATGTCCGTATACCCCCAAAGCCCCTTCTGCCTTTGTGCCTTACCTCACGACCTCCGTGCATCTCCCGGAGCTCAGCATCGCGACCACCCCTCGTATGAGGCTACTGCCCAAGCCTTGCACCCGCCACTTCTCCTTCGCCCGCGCCGGAGCTGCTCCCACTCCGGTGCCACAGACCCGTGGGTCGCCCCCATTGCCACCCTCCTCTTCGTCGCTGTCCTTATCGTAATCGATGGCGTTGGAGGCGGTGGCCGTGACCGCTGCCGCCGCCCTGGCGGCTGAGGCGGCAGGTCGGACCAGTGACAGCGTGGCGTCGGGTACGTAAGGCATGTCGCCCAGCACCCTCGCCAAGCCAGGACTCAGCGACAGGGACAAGACGCACTCCAGTAACGGGGGTTCCCTGAAGGCCACATGTGACAAAGACAAACCCCGCCGCGAACATCTTAACAACATCAACACCATCGACGAGGATGTTAAGGCAACGGATGGAAACCGCAACGGGAAACTATCCGCATAAGATGTATGTGTGTGTAAAATATAGATATCTCTTTTTGCTGGAATGGAAGTCATATGCAGAGTCGTCATATGTGGGGAAACGGGACGGGTCACAAGCAGAATGGTTTTGTGTATATCAGCAGTGAAACAGTGAAAGAGGAGTGCTGCTGCTGATGGGGAGTAGGCCAGGGCGTATTCACAGACCCGCGGGTCACGTGTGGGATGATCTCAGCGCCTGACGCATGTGCCTTACTTGCTGCTTGCCGCCTCAAATTGAAGCCTCGGAATGAGCGGCTGTACGGCAGGTAAAAACACGTCCCACAGCTCATTGTAGTCAGCCGAGGTGGAGGCGGGAAAGCGCAGCCATACTTGCGCCAGCAGCCGCAACGCGGAGGAGCGAACCTCGCGATGACGCTCCAGGGGGCCCAGCTCCGCCGCTGCCTCTTCCTCCTCTCCTTCCGAACCGCTGCTGCTATCGTTGCCGTCGCCGCCGACGCCACCCTTGGCCTCGGCGTTGCTACCCCCGGCACCCGCCTGCTTAACTGCTCCCAATTCACAGGCTCCAGAGCCTTTCATTGTCTTGTTCCTGATGTCTTTCTTCTTGACCTTGTCCTTCTTCTCCTCTGCAGATTCCGTGGCTTTAGAGCCGGCCTCTTGGTTCTTGCTGCCGCCACTTCTGCCGCCCACGTCGTCGCCATCATCGTCATCAGTGCCGTCGTCATCATCGGACACATCATCACCGTCTCCTCGATCGTCCTGTTCGGCCATCTGTACGTCTGTCAACGACTCCCGCGCCGCCGCCGCCCCTACACCTTCCTCCTCCTCGCCGCCGCCAGCGGCATGAGCATTCGTGATTGCGGCGGTGGCTGTAGTAAGCAATCGCAGCGTAATGCCGAGCATTACCGGCAGGAACGGCTCCAAACCGTGGCCCAGATGCGACAACAGGTCCTCAACTGCGGGGTGCGGGGTTTGATTCGAACACGCGACTTCACTTCGTTGCAAAACGTTATAAAACTCTTGAATGGGGAAACTGTTTCCAAACACGTACGCAAGCTTTCAAACCACCACAACTCCACTGTGCTTTTACCTGATCCGTTGCCAAACACGCAACATTTTCCAACCCACCGTAACCCACCCAAAGTACATGTCAGATGTCTTATGCGCCACCCACCCATACCTCCACAGCAAAACCCCTGGATCTGGTCCCGGACAGCTAACCCCGGTCCCTCGCCCTCACCCACAACTGCTCCTCAAACCTGCAAGCTCCATAAGCATTAGACACACACACACACACACAACACACAACACACACACACACAACACACACACACAAAACACACACACACACAAAACACACACGCACACACACAACACACACACGCACACGCGCGAGAAAAAATCGCGGCTCACATAATTAACGAACACAAGAAAAGAGAAAACTCACATGCGTTCAGGAAGCCCACTTTGCGACGAGCTGGCAGCGCATCCAGCGCCGCCTGGTCCACCGCCGCCAACCACCATCCCACCCCACGGCCCAGCATCGGCGCACTCCACCAAGGTGGCGGAATCAACCGGTAGCGGTTCAAGTCCTCGGCTCCGGCGGCAGCACGGAGCGCAGGCGCCTCCTCGGGTGCCATAAACGCCGCCGCCATGGGCTCCAACAAAAGCTCCAACAGCGGTCGGAGTTCCTCAGATCGGAGGTTAGCGAGGAAGTTGAGGATGGCGGCGCGGGCGCTGCCGGGTGCGCCTCGACCGCCCAGTCGGCCGCTGCGTTTCCGCATCTTTGGAAACAGAATGCGGATGAGCAGGGGGATGAGTCCGGGACGAGCCTCTTCTCCCACACCGCCATCGGCACCGGGTGCCACGGGGAAGATGGCAAGCTCTTCCTACAGGTAAGGGTGGGAGGAAGAAGTACTTGAGTTGGGGGAACACGGTTGAGGGTCATTTTGGAGGGGAGATGCCCTGAATGACAGCGTTGTTTTCGATGGGAGATCCGTTTTGTAGGATCTTGTGATTCGAAACGGAATTGAAGAGGTTGGCGGAGATGAGGTTCGAAAGACTGAAAAAACATTCCGGCTGTTGTCCTCAGGGCTGCTCCCTTCTTCCACGATATCATCACCTGCAAATGACCCTTTAATTTGACCTTTTTCCGAGACACTAAAGTAAAACATTCCGATGTTCCAATATCCCGCCGTTAAAACCTTCCTCGTCCCGTTGAGAGCTTCCTTCATACACGGTAAAAGATATTATATGATGTTCCGGTGTTTCAGAAACTCCATTACATTGGAAATCCACACAATCTTACCCGCAATGTGGCATCGTCGGCCAGTCGATCCAGGCGGTCCGCCATCTCGGGGGGCAGCCAGCGGAAGCGGAACGGCCGGAGACAGCGCAGCGCCGCCACCTGTAAAGCTTATCGTGAACATGTGCGAGAGGGGGACGCGGGAGAGAAATCTGGTGATTAAAAAATCCTCCAAGGTACATCAAATGTTCACAGGATCTAGCTTCAACGCGGAAAGAAAGACCATTCAACCCAAGTACGAGCACGTACATGGGTGGTGAGAATGAGAGATGCATGGAGATGGAAAAGAGGAAGGGAGGGTCGCGTGGTTCATATACGCATTCGGCGATTGTAACTGCAGAAATAGTCAGCTTACTGTGCTGTATTTCGCAAGTAGGGTGTACGGTGTACGACGCACCGTACGCACCTGTATGCCAGAGTCGGACTCCAGCAGGTGACTGGACACCGCCCTCTGCAGCTCCTCACTTCGATACAACCCCCGGACGCCCCGCAAGCCAGCCACCAGCTTCAGCCAGTCCAATAAACCCGCACGCCACGTCTTGCCGCCAATGCGAGACAGCACGCTGACGCCGGAAGGCCCAGCGGCAGCAGTTGCCGCCACCACGGCTGTTGCCGCCGCCGCCACCTCCGGCGGCGGCGGCGTGGGCGGCTCCGCATCCCCCGCAACTGCAGCCTTCCTGCCTTTCGGCAGCTTCCGCTTGGCCGTGATAACGGCGGCGGTGGCGGCGACGTCAGAAGAGCAGCCCGCAGACGCGTGGGACTGCCGGCGCTGTTTCAGTTCCTCGTCATCGTCTTCCTGGCCGCCAACTGACCCATGGGTCATAGGAGGCGCTGTCGTTGCCGGCCCGGTATCTCCGCTTGTGCGTGGTTTCTTGCGCGGCCGAGTAACAGCGGCTGTGGCAATGGTGGAAGCGGCAGCTGCTGGCGGCGGTGCTTCTACAACAGCCGCGGCGGCGCGGGCAGCCGTGACGGCGGCCTCCACATCACCTTCGCCGTCATCGAAGTGACTGCCACGTGCTGCAGTGTACTCCAAGAACAGCGGCACCCAATCCCTGGAGTGTTGCTCAACCGTACTGTACGGCGCCGCCGCCATAGCTCGCAGCACGTGGCTCAGTCGGTTCTGCGGATCCGTCACGCCGCCGGTGGCCTGCGGTGTACCCGCGCGTACGGCAGAGTTGTAACGCTCATCCAGCTTCTCGATCCGCGAGGCATCCTGCGACACTGGCAGCTCTTCGCGTAGCGGCACGGCAGTAATCGCCGCGCTGATGGCGGCGCTGCTGTGATGGCGGCCGCGGCGGCGGCCGCCGCCGCGGCCGGCACCAGTCGCCGCCGACGGCCCGCTGCCAACAGCGGCGGAAGATACGTTTCCAGAGAGAAGTTGATCTTGGGAGGACTTCAGGAAGGAAAACACGATGGGCCATGACTCCTGCGATGATGGCAAAGACATGGAGGTTATAACTGCAGAACTTGTACAATGACGTAATCATGGCTGGCACCTTGGAAGGGTGAGCAACTCTAGGTGTATTACACACATGCACACGCGCACACACACATAGACACTCGCGCGCGAACACATGACGACGAACAGATCATTGCCCCTCCCGAAATGCCAGTGCATCAATTTACGCTCATACCCAAACAACTTTAATGGAGGAGCTGTGCATGCGTATGTGAAAGCAAACGCAGAAACCAAAACTTATAAAAAAGACACTGGTGGGATCAGCCTCTATTAGAGGTCCGAAAGAACACCTCGTCACACACCTGCGCTCGAAACTCCAGACACGCAGCAAGGGCCTGGCTGGCGGGCTGCCAGAGGGGGCTAAAGCGAATGTACAACACGCCCACCATGCCGTACGCAAAGGCTGGGACCAGGAACTCTGGAATCCTGCGTTCCGGGAAGAGGGCCGGGATTGCACGAATGATGCAAGAAGAAGAAGAAGAAGAAGAAGCAAAGACACCAAAGCGACTTCCAAAGCCATGTGTGCATCTGCGTGTGCATGTGCATGTGTGTTGGAAGCGGCATGAAGGTCAATACTTAGCAAGAGACACAGACGCACATACACACACATACACCTCATCCTGCAGTGGGAAAAGAGCAGAACAGCACTCATTAAAGTTATTCTGTCAGGCAGTATGAAGTCAGCCGGTGTCACATCATTACCATACCACCCATAAGCCACAACGAAAAAACATCTAGAACATACATCTGATGATGCTCGTGACGCTTTCTCCCCTTCATCTCCCAACCCCCAGTGACCTTCTGCCGCTGATGGCCCATGCCAAGGTTGCAGGTGCATGCACACACTTTTCCTTGCTTTCCTTGTCCGTCCTCAAAATGCCCTTCTAGTACTGGGCATTCACAGACAAACGAACAAACAAACAAAAGCACGTTCTTGCATTACATGCAGACTGACACACAGATGCAAACACGCACCGATTGTACTCCAGGTACGTCTTCAGGCGACCCATAGCCACTGTCCACTTGCGTCCACTCTCAATTGTGAAGGGCCGACTGTTGATGCCGTACAGCACCTCAAGGAGGTCACATCGCGGCGCCGAGCTGCCGCCGCCGCCGCCTGAGCCGGCCGCAGAGGCCGCGGAGTCGCCGCCCCGCTCGCGTTTCTGCTGCTGCTTGTGTTGCTTCTGCTTCGCAACAGCCTCGGAAACTGCAGTGGATTCCTTAGTCTCGGTGCCAATGATCTGGAGCGTCGGTTGATCAAAGCAGCACAGCAGGCGCAGTACGGCCGCGCGCAGCGGCTGCGACTCGTGCGCCAGCAGCGGCGCCAGGTGCCGTACCAACTGCCGCAACCGTGATTCCGACAGCAACTCCCGTGCCATGTCGAGGATAGCGCCAGAGCCCATGGCGGTAGCGCCACCGCTGCTGCCGTGCACGCTAGCGCGTACGGCAGACAGCAGCGACCCTGCAGCCCGGATACTGGCGTAATCGGCGCCAAAAGAAGGCGATCCGGCCGTGACCTCTGCCTTTTCCTTCTGCCCCTCCTGCTGCTGCACCCGGTCCTGTTGGCCTTGGTTTAATCGATCCATGACCCAGTTTAAAGTGGTCTCCGCCGCTGTCACTAGCGACAGCGGCAATTCAGACTGCTGCTGCCGCTGTAGCAGCTCCGCCAGCAACTCCGTGGCTGTAGCGCGTAGTAGTAGCAAGCTGGCCTCCGCAGCGTCGTCGGCAGGAGCGCTGTCAGCGTCCGCGCGCCGGCGCTTGGCCTGCCTCCGCTGCGCCGATACTTCGAAATCCTGCAATGCCGACGACGACGCGTCCAGGACTTGCTCACAAATACTGATAGCCTGCAAGTCATTCTCGCAGGCATGCTTAAGCAGCGACACGGCGGCCCATGCCTCCGAAGCGACCCGTGGGTCAATGGTGACCGTTGTGTTGACGCCCGCTGACGTCCGTCGCCATCCCGTCGCCAAAGCGCGCACGTGCGCCGCCAGGCGCACACCGTGAGGCTGTGCCGTCAGCAGCAGCGGCAGGCCCACGGGTCGCCCGCAGTCCTGCTGTAGCAGCTCGCACAGGTCCCGCAGGAGCAGCAATGCCGAACCCGCATCATCCCGCTGCTGCGGCCCGGATTGCGGCTGCTCCTCGAGTTGCTGCTCCTGCTCAGCTGGCGGTAGCCTTTCAACCCCCATGATGAAGCGGCCCAGACAGCCCATCATCTGCGGCGCAAACAGGCGTGCAATCTCCGGCCCCGCCGGCGGCACCATCAGAGACTTTACAAAGGGCAGCGCCTCCGTCGCCAGAGGCCGGCTGAAGCACGGAGCCCAAGATACCGCGCAGCGGCCCAGCACCTCCGGCCCTTCGCTCGCGCCGACGGCCTTCAAGTGGCCATACACTACGCCACGCACCAGCTCCAGAACCGCGTACGACAATGACACATCCATCAGATCGTCGCCGTAGCTGTCCTCGTCATCGTTGTACACACCGGCAGCAGGAGTGCGACTGGGGCTGGCGTCAGGGCTACTACTACTGCCGCTACCGCCAGGCGAGGACATGACGTCTGTGGAGCTGTCTCCCCCACGATGAAGGACGCTTGCAGGTGCCGCTGCCGCCGTAGAGGGGATCCACACGGCGGGCTGCATCAGACGGCCAAGCAGCTCCATCAGCGGCTTGTAGGTTTCTACCCGGCTACCCCTGAAGTACCCCACAGCCTGAGCCACAAGCAGTAGCGCACGGCCTAGGCTGCGAGCGGCGACAGCTACAGCGCTGCCGCTGGCACCCGCCGCGTCCGCAAGGACCTCAAACGCGCGAAGGCGTGCATTCGTCTCCCCCAGCAATGCATTCCAGAGCTCCTCTCCCTTGCCGCGTCGGAGGTGGTCTAGAAGCCGCGCCAACGCGACCCTCGCGACGGCGGCCGCCCGAGCGCGTAGCTGCTCTTGGCTCACGGCGACGCGGTGAAGCGGCGACGGCTCCGCTGAAGCGGCAGCGGCGCTGCTGCTGCCCACTGCCATGGCTGCGGTGGGCCGCAGGTCGCCAGGCTGTAGCAGGTCTTCCTTGAAGAGCAGCTGTAGCACTTGGGGTGCACGGCTGTGGAGGCCGTGGGACACACCTAGGACCGACTCCGCCAATAACAGTCCTGTGACCAAGAGAATAATCAGGCATTAACAAGCTTAGTTTGTTGAGTTGGTTAGCTCAGCTTGTTGTTAACGGTTTGTCGGTAACGTAGGTTGGCAAGGATCTCGTAAAAAATCAGCTATGCCGGAATTCGTTTTCAGACTTGTTGTTCCAACAAAGTCATGTGTTCGTTTCTGTTCTGCTAGCCACATGCAGTGCGCGCGTATTTCTCTGCCCTCACCAGCGCCATCGATTCGTTCAGGAGTGGGTCGTACAGCTTGCTCAGCCAGTACGGCCCGTACACCGGACCGCAGGGCTGCAGCATTCGGAGCAGATCGCAGCAGAAACCCAACCGCCTGGGCCGCAAATTGCCGTACATAGTCGGCGTGATGGTAACGCAGCGGCGCCGTCACGCGCAACGCTGTCGGAAGGTCCGCCGCCAGGTGCCGTACGAGATGCTTGCAAATGTACGACACGCATGTGAAGATGGCCTCCAAGGACTGTACAAAGTTTGTTTCGGGGTGGTGATGGAGGGTGGGTTGGGCGAGATTAAAAAGCGGTGACGAGAAGGGGGCGTGATGTCCATTCCTTCTTCATGTCACGAGTTCCAGACCAACGTTCCGAAACCCCCAAATCCCAAATCACCATAGGTGCCCGCTCTTCCTTCCGTACAACCCCCTGTGGTGCTGTACGTTCCCCCCGTCCCCTTGCATGCTGCCGCACCTCTGGTTCACGTTCTGCGCCCCCGTTTAGCAGCTGTACGATTCGCCGTATTGCCTTGGGCAGTAACGGCAGAAATTGCTGCTGCAGGTCGCGGGCTAGGCGGGAGAGCAAGTCCAGAAGGGCTGGCAGGGACAGACGGGCTGAGGGCTCCAGGGAGCCCAGCAAGATGCGGAAAATGTCATCTTTGTGGTGAAGCAGCAGCGGAAGCGACTGACTCAGCGGCTGAACCTCCGCGGCGGCCTAGGGGTCGTCGGCGTTGGGTGTGAGTAAATGTATTGCAATGGGAGAGGAATGAAGCTAGGGCAACGAAATGGGGATGCATCATAAGCTGGCTTAGATCTACGGGCGCCGTTGCGGGTATGATGGTGCTGGATGCAGACGATGGTGTAAAGCCGTAAAAGGAGAGCGCAGTTAGGTAACCATGATAGAGACCGATGCCAATTCCGTATTATTTACAACTTCATGCAGATGCAAATGGATGCCCATGTGCTGTGCACAACGGAAACGGGGTTGCAGAGGTGGAAGAAAGGACCCCATAAGGGAAACCATATGGGTTGAGAGGGTGCCTTGCCTTGACCCATATGGACAGGGAAAAGGGGAAAGGAGGGGTACTCGAGGGGAAATGAGCTAGGAAAGTTTCCGTGCCCGAGGCAAGGGGGGGAAGAGGCAGTGGATGGGGACAAAACAAGGGGCCGCCCAGGATACCAGGCGCGCCCCCTGCAATATGGCCGCACCTGCAGGAAGTGTGCTGCGCTATTTAACTCTCTCCAATGCGCCAATCCGTCTGCCAGCCATGAGCCCGAAGACGGCTCCGACTTGACGGGCCCAAGTCGCTTGTAGACATCGACCTCAACCTAGGGGAGGACGGAAACGCAGCAGAGCTTCAAGGGACGCCCGTGAAAACAGCTGCGAGGTTGTCGATGTGCGGTTATTAGCCAGGACAGGTTTTCACGGGCGAAGACGTCCGCACAGCGGCATGCGACGGCGCCGACAGTTTGTTAATCCCCGCAAGATAAAGCTTAGGGGTATCTACAGGCAACGGCTATCGATGCGGACTATGTTCGAAACGACAGACATGGCTTTGACGCGATAGATATTGTCGCCAAGGGAGACTACGGCGGCGGCGTCGCACCTCAGACACCCGCTCCGCAAATGTCTTAAAACGAAATCGTTTCTGCCGTGGGACATTCGGTACATTTGGAAGACTCTCCTCCTCCGAATCTGACATTCTCTCTCGCAAATGTAATTTTTAAGCAGGCGCAGAGATAGCAACTGAGGTGTTCGAAAAGGATTCCATTATTAGATTTTCGTGTTAAATTGCAAAAAACAAAAGAAATGTAGGCTCATACAGAAGGCAAATAAGGCCAATACAAAAACTCAAATCCAATGGTAAACTTGCAGTATCTTGAGCAACATAGTCCAGCATCCCTTAGATGGGTCGAACAGAAACTTCATTACACTTCGCTTTGGTTGCGTTCAGTAGCTGAAATTGCTCCGAAACTTCGTACGGATCAACTGTCCCCGTTGGCGGTTGTCCATCAAGTTCTGTGATGTCCTGAAGGCAAGGCGACCCTATGGCTCGGATATATCGGGTACCATATAGCCATCAGCGTAGGACTGTATACATGTAAATCACGCCGGTCGTCCTGGACAAATACCCAGATATCAGAACCCGAAACGTTGGGCTGTCCCCTGACCAGGGCAAAATATTTCCGGGCGTTATTATAAATGTACTTATTCCCTGGAATCTCTGTGCTTTGGTCTACTCGTCCTGACGCTGTTTCACCACCACCCGCTTGTTTGAGCAAGATTTCCGTGAATACGCTGCATGCCTGGCCGCACCGTTTTACACCCAAGATAAATATGATTGAAGCATAATGGTGGCACCGCAATCCCTAAAGTATGATGTTGGCACCGCATCCCGCCTGGGCTGCTCCCTTGATTTTGCGCGTTGTGGTTGCTTGCGCTCGCCGCTGATGCCTCCAACCCTGTCCCTCGTGCGACGCCCAGTATCCTGTTAGTGCCTCGGAAACATGGATCTCAAGCGCAATACGTGATGCAGCGATGTTGGCGTTGAGATGCCATTCGGCGACGTAAAGCTTCCAACACGCATGCACGCGCCAGAGTCTCCATGAAGAGGCCATGGAGCCATGCGCAACGGTGTGTGTCGACCCAGACGCCAATAAGGCCGTGGTGTGTATCCGGGGCCATTAAGCCCAAATCAGGCGGGTGCTTTGCGGTTGGTGGTTGGTGGTTTCTGTGGGAGAGAACGTCTGCTGGATGTGTCCTGATATCTTCAGGCCAGGTTCACATATGTGCTGAGATCACTTGGTGGCGCTTTGGAAAGGGATTCAAAGGCAGTTTCGGAGCTTAGGTTGGACCACAAGATTTCCGGTTGCAGATTCCGTACTCTGCATTTTTAACCTAACCCGGTTGAAGCACACCTTGTTGGATTGCTTTGCCTCCATTAGCTCCCTGGGGACTGCAAAACCCATGAGTAACTTGTACTCCCGTAGGCCCATTTTTAACATTGTAAAACTGCCCAACATTAGAGAAAACGCATGGTTCAAAAAACATCAAGTTAGAGCTCCAAGTAGGGTACAGCTTCAACTAAAACACGTTAACCACTAGTACCGAATATACAACCGATTTATCGTCGTACATGGTCCTAACTAATTACCAACCCCACCTATGACGCCTTTGCCAGAGCACCATAACCCGGGTGACCTTTGCAAAGCCTGGACGGTGAAATGGTGACCTGGTTTATGTGTGGGCGCACTTGGTCTTACGATCTTACGCAGCTTGATGGCGACTCATGACTATGCTCGCCCGCCACGCAGTACTACTCAATATAATGCGGAAAAAGAACGCCGCCATCTACCGCTGGATGACAGGTTTTTGTTAGGGCTGTACTCCCCATACACCGTGCGTTCATCCCGGCCTGGCTGTCATGTTATTGCAGCTGATGATGGTCTTTCCGTTATCTTCCAAATGGTTGAAAACTCCGTCAATGACGAACTAACCGACGTCAGAAGGTAACTTCGCAAGACGAAAAAACATGTCCGAGTTTAATGTCCTGGTTCTGGAGCACCCACCAGCTAAGCAGCGGGCGTTGCCCGGTACGCCAATTTGGCCTGCGGAGTGTGGGGGTCTTAGGATGCATGACTCGACCTTTTCCACCGGAAGGCCGGTCAGCTGTCCGCTTAGGTTACAGTTTCCACTACCTAAGAGCGCGTCGGAAAGGCACTGTGCTGCAATCCGATTTATTTCTGCACCTAGATATTGTATAGGCTGGACGGAACCCTTTGGATTCTTGCTGTACAGCGCTGTCTGTCTGAGGGATACCGCCAGCACAAGCATGTATCGACATGCATTAGTGTTTCAAAAGGTAAAAAGTTACGTGATTAATGATCAGCGCGGTGACGCGATGGAGCTTGGACACTAAGTCGACGCTCGACTGCCCCCTGCGTCTAGCTAGGAGTTTCATAGTCCTTCACAAATCATGTGTTCCCTTCCCTCCTACGGGGTAAATAAAATCATAATGATAATGAGCATTTAACCTATATCTAAATTTATACGATAGCGAAAAGTGAACTTAATCCGTTAATGAATCTGTAGCGGAGATAGGAACAGTCCAAGGGAAACTATTGAAGCTGAACCGTCACGACACAGAGACATATAGAGCATTTGTGAACTGACATGATAATTTAAATTCGTGGCACGAAAATGGAGAAGGGTGTAAGGTTCCTTTCGTCGCGGCACGCGCGGCCCAACAACTTGCAATTTTACATTTCATGCCTCTGCATCTGCGTTGCTGCGCTTCAAGGTGGGATCACTCAAATGTGTCCGATATACCTTATGTTACCTAAACAAATAATACGCACTTGTAACCCAGCGCCAATGTCGCGGGGTCCCGCAGCAGCGGAATCGGAAAGCGCGCGTCCGGCGTTGGTTGGGTCGGACAGAGGACGCGGTCTGGGCGTTGTCTAACCCATCCACCACATCGCCCTTGTGGACGCATCTCTGTCACGATATGCTTGCATTTTGTGATCAGCGCATACAGTATTCAACGACGCTCCATCGTCTTGTTCGTTTGCTACTCCACTATGCAGGAACACAATGCCAGGAGCTGCAGCCGGACACTCCTTTGATGCCTGCGCGGCGATCTCAGAATGACTCCCAGTTGGTTCCTCCTGTCCCACAATCCCCAAAGCCAGCGGTGACTTCCAGGCCGGCCAAGCCGGTTACATCTCCGAAGCCCGCCAAGCCGGTTACATCTCCGAATCCGCACACGGTTGAGGCCTCTCCCAAGCCCCTAAGGCCCCTGACATCGCCGCCGGTTTCGTCCCCCAAGCCGCACAAACCAGCTTCATCGCCCAAGCCAGCTTCATCGCCGAAGCCAGCTTCATCGCCCAAGCCAGCTTTATCGCCGAAGCCAGCTTCATCGCCCAAGCCAGCTTCATCGCCGAAGCCAGCTTCATCGCCCAAGCCAGCTTTATCGCCCAAGCCAGCTTCATCGCCCAAGCCAGCTTCATCGCCGAAGCCAGCTTCATCGCCCAAGCCCTCGCAGCCCGGCCCATCCAGCAGGCCTCCAAAGCCCGTCGCCACCCCAAAGCCTGCCTCGTCACCCAAGCCTACACATCCATCTTCCCCCGACCAGCGACCACCTAAAAAACTGGTTCCGTCACCCAAGCCGAGTGCGAAGCCAGCGCCGTCACCCAAGCCGAGTGCAAAGCCAGTGCCGTCACCCAAGCCGTCGAAACCGGCTCCGTCACCGAAGCCCTCTGTGAAGTCAACGCCTCCAAGCAAGCCGGCGCCCTCAAAGGCCTCACCGCCGGTGGTCAGCCCCGCCGGTCGGCCCCTGCAGCCCGCGTCCATAAAGTCCCCTAAGCCGGAGCAATCAGGACTCACGCGTGAGTGCGGTGATTGCAATGTCATGGGCCATAAATCGTAAATATGCGCCGCAATCTCTTGGATTATTGTACGGAGGTGGCCGAGGTGGATGGGCTCCCACGCTTGCAAACGGGCGTCAATTTTCCGCATGACGTGCCTCGTGCATTCGCCATGGCCTTGTTGCAAAGCTGACGAAAAATAATCCTCTGTATGATTCCAGCTTAAAATAACACGGGAATCTACTTGGTGTCGAATGGTTGATCCGTTACCTTCTATCTGCAGCACCGTCGCCATCTCTCTACCCTGCGGGCCCGGATGCCATCAGCCTCACTTACGGCGGGTATGGGGGAAGTGAACCCAATGTGTGCAACAGCCAGCAGTGCGGATTTCCCTCCCGCACGGAGCTGCTCGTCCAGGTCCCGCAGGTCCCTGGCGGAGGTCAGCAGCAAGTGTGGGCGCCGCTCTGCGCCATGAATGCGTCGTCGGACACCCTGGATGAGGTTGCACGTCTCCTCTGCAACCAGGTAGGTCTGACTTGTAAGGATAGTCGTGCGGATCTTTACGACGCACGTCGTCAGTGGCGTTGTGCATGCGTATGTCTGTGCAGCGATGGATACCAGGCCAGATGGATACCGTGTTGCATGCAAAGGTTTCTAAGCTCTGGACACAAGTAAAGCCAGCCCCTGCCAGCCTGATGCTGAATCCCCACGCCGTCCATAGCCGCGAAGTAGCTAGCACAATGAAACAATAATTAAGCCGCCTGGCGGCGGAAGCTCCTCAACCTACACGTTCCAAATGAAGTGCGGGGATATGTACAGGCTACGTGGTCGTGACGACTACATGGCATATCCGCATTTCCGCACACTCCGCCACACCAGCCAGCCGCAACCGGGTTCCGTTTGTGCCGCTGAACGAAACAAGGTCGATTCTAGGACTTTGGACATGTGCGCGCGCCGTCCATACACTCCATACACTTCAAATGTGTCCTCAGGATCCGTTAGCTCCCATGCTGGGCCCACATGTACCTGCGTGCCCTTGCCGACTTGTCCCCTACTGCGCAGTACTATGACTACTGGCCGGTGGATAGCGATACAGGTGGCCGGCGTCGCCTTGCACACGCAGATGGTATGGACAAGTACCACAGCGTATATGGGATCGCCTACGAGCCATTCAGAATCCCCAAGTCGCCAGACGGAGGTGCGGAGGTTTATATTGGTCGCAGCTCCCACACACGTATGTAGAAGGACGATCCTGTGCGGGTGCATTAATTATGATGCCGGACGCTTAGCGCTTGCTCGGCGGTTAGGACTATGAGCCAGACATAGGCAGCTGACAGAGCGTAAGGCTGACAGAATCATGAATATAGCTAACAAGGTAGCAAGAGATATGAGTAGAGCAGCTCTGTTATTAATATTGCAATATTGCCTCCGTTGGACTGGCCCCCACTCTGGCCCAGTCCACGATGCCGAATGCCTAATGGACCAAAGGCACCAAAGGTACCATAATATACAATGACGTCCGCCACCACGGCGCATCCCTCTCAAGCGATAGTGGTCGCGACCTGCCGGGGACACCAACCCTAATTAATTATTTACTTCGATCACCATATTTGGATGGTATATACCATCCATGCACGCGTGCACTGGACTCACCCTGCCCCTACCCTTTTGCTCACCATGCGGTGGTACATACATGTATGCGGTGATTTCATCGATACGGTTAGGTTAGGCACTACTGGTAACGCGCGACCATTGCCCCCGGGAGATGCCGGGATTGAGACCTGTCAGGATCGAAAATCCTTCTTATGGAGGAAGGTATTGTGCCCCCAGTTGATGGACGGTGGTGACCTGGGATAAAGTTAACCGCGAGCCGACCGGGAGTGGTGTTGGGCCGCTGTCAACCCGGCAATTTTCGTTGGATGCTGGTGGTGGGTGCGGAACCTGAGCGATCCACTGAGAAGTTGACTAGGGTGACTGGATGAGGGTGCCCCGAAATACTGGGGAAGGCAGGGTTTCGCAGGGTAGCTGCCACGGGTGAAGATATACCCCCCCTGTTTCACACATCCTACATGCGTACTTACGCACAGATGGCAGCAGCGACAATAATGGAAACTTCGAGACGCCTGTGGACCGGCCTTGGGATCCCTCCACGGCCTCCCACTGGGTGACCTTATCCGGATGGAGCAACCTCAGCTCGGTCCGTTCCGTGCAAGACCTACAGCTGCAGGTGCGTGCCTGTGATGCTGTGTATATATTTATGTATGTACGAAGTGATGAGCCCGTGCGTTAGGGAGGCCGCCGGGTGAGTACTGTAGTAGCTGGCCGCTGAAAAGGCCTCTCAAGATGCTGATGGAGCACCTTGGCGCGTAATTGTAGACGGTATGTGTGCCGTACTATGTACGACTACTACAAGTACAAAAGGCTATTGCATGCACATGCCGTCGGTGGAGCTTGCATACGTAACACATATGCTTATAACACACACATGTACATCAGATTATATAGCAAGAAGCTGGGAATTGTGCCTGCGGCCACAGATAGCTATGAAGTGACGTCCCATCAGCGGGTCGCCCCATTCGCCGTGCACCAACCAGCAGGCACTACATATATGTATACATGCACATGTATAAATGTCTGCATGCATCCCGTGGGGAGTGGGCAGGTTGCATAGCAGCAGGAACGGAAGTCCTTCGCATGCAGTACAAGTAGCTGGTCTGACGGACACAGTTCTCACATACATGCATCGTAGTTTTCTACATTACGTGGGGGGGGAATGACGACTAGCGGGCCACGCATGCACTGCCCCGCTAGCTGCAGCAACTAGGCAGTGACGCAGCCCACCATCCCGCATAAGTTGTAACATGCCTAAGGTCGTGCCCGCCCGCTGCCCTCTTTGGTTGGTTGCTTTCATCCGCGCGCTTCGCTTGGTTCGCGTGCGCAGATCTCCAAGGAACCCTGCGAGAGCGGGAAGATTTTTGCAGTGTACTGCATGATGCTGGTGACGTAGACGGCTAATTAACAACTAGGCCAGCGGAATGGTATAATGTACAGCACAATCATGGGCTTCGTTTGCTTTGATTCGTGGATATGCCTAGGCAGACCTGCTTCCTGAGTGTACTGTGTGTTGCCACGCAACGGCGGCTGCTAGCTAGATAGCTGCGCGCACGACACCGGCTCTACCTTACGTATTGCTGCTAGCTCTTTGCTCTATCCTTTCGCTCGCCCATCTTTATGCTGTGGCGGCCATGCATGCTTTGTGTTTCCATGCTATGTTGTGGTGGTTATGCGTGCAATGTGTTTCCGTGCATAGCTGTGTACTCGTAGACTTGTACACAAAAATTGTTGGTGAAGTCAAGTCGGCGGATTAGTTACTACTTTTGTTTCCTTTTTTTTAAATTACGTTTTATGCAGTCAAGCACAGAGAGAGGTACATACGCAAGGACATATCCGTCTTTAATATTTTTATGGTCCATAAACCATGCCCTGGAATATTAGATATTGATTCGCCATCCCTATCTATTCTGCCATCGTCGTGTCACATACAGCCGACAAGCCACCGGCGGCAACCCGAAGCGCGACCGCTGCGCAAGGACATAGCAGTCCAGATATTTTTCCATCAAGCGCAATCACTAGCTAAGCAAGAAAGTCGATCTCCTACAGGCGACACTGTCGTATAATATGAGAGGACCGTCCTCACCTCAGGCTCACCATCAGGCGGATCAGGTTGCGGATAGCACAATGAGCACGCATTCTCTCATTCCGCAGCACCTGAATGGTCCCCCCTACCCACTGCCAGCTGGCATGCAGGGCAAGAAAACGATTCCAACATCTCCCAACGATTTAGACTGCGCCCAAACTTCAAGTTCTCTCGCTGTGACAGGCTGCACACGCGGCTGGCTGCATCGTGCTATTGAAACAGGAGCAGCCACCTTATGCTCCCCATGCTCTCCCTGCAGCGCCGTTGACAGGGCCGTAATAGCGCCATCTGGCGTGTGGAACTTCCAGCTGTTGAATACTTGACGCCCGTGGTGTTCACGGTTTTAGCCCGCGGCCCGTTATAAACCATACCCTTGCTAGCCACTCGGTTATATGCTCCCAAACACCCAAAAATATCAATCTCTCCATCATCATCACCATCATCAACACCTGGAAGCAGTGGGACCTGCCATTGCATTCCGTGTAAGATGAAATGGCAAGCGAGCACTTCGTACGGCAGCCTTTGCCCTTAGCTTCTCTCATGACTGCCGCACCTTGAAGCTCCATAAGGTATTTAAGCCGGGGGGGCTTCCGTGACATTCTTGACATTCATGTTGCACCATGTCCAGCTCAAATGACTCGGCATGAACTCCCTTCTGGTGGGGCACAGTGGGCACACATAAGCACCCTCCGGCATATCTTTAACTGGTGGGTTTAGGCAGTATGTATGTATGTATGTATGTATGTTACCCTGTCTTGCATGCATCACAGAGCAGCACCCACCCCGCCGTGTCCGGAAGCTTGAACACCTCACAAGGGTGCCCAGGCGATGGCCTGGGCCAATGTTGGATCCACATCGTGGTACTCGATGGGCAAGTGACACGGAGCACAGTGGCCGATGTGTGATGTGTGACGGTGGTACCACAGCGCCCTTCCAGCACCAGGACCCCAGCTGGCCAGACCTCAACTACACGAAAGAGATATCCGGCTTGGCGTGCGGATCCAGGCTGGATTGAGCAGAAGTGTCCCTATGGTACATGTAGTCACCAATTTCAATGCGACGCAGGCGTGGCGCGCCACGCCTGCGTCGCATTG